AGCGGGCGCGGAGATGGCACGGACGAGCTCCCTTGCAGGAGGCAGGTCGGCCGGCCCCAGGGAGACGCTGGGGATCTCCATTCGAGATAAGCGTAGCATTTGGAAGCGGCAGGGGCAGCGATAGGCGCATGGGGGGTCGATGGTCTGGAGCCTAAAGTCGAATGGAGCGGCTCATCCAGACCCATGGCGGCTAGGGAGCTTGGCGCTCGGTGGGCGAGGTACCTCTCGCGGCGGCGTGGGGAGGGCAGGCAGTGACAGAAGGGTACATTGGAGGTACCTCTGCGTCCTCTGCGCCCTCTGGGCGGACGACCAGCAGTTTGAGCGAGGTCGGCGAGGTCGGCGCGGGATGCAGCCAGTCAGCACCCGCTGCGTGCGCCCACCCCGCATCTGCCGCCCGCTGCGGATCCGAGACCTGACTGCGGCCGTTCTGGCTGTGGCGCGTGGATGCCGCACGCGGCGCTGCCAGGACGCAGTTCGTGAGAGCCGAATGAGGGAGCGGGATGCCGAGTGGTGAGGTGAAGCTGAGGCAGGAAGTCGGTGGTGAGGCTCTGAGGAATGGCTGCACGACCATTGGCCGCCGGCTGCCGGCTGCCGGCCTGACCCACCCCGGCCTAAGGCGGTGATGTCGGTGCTCACAACGAGTCCATGACGAGCCACCACTCTCTACATCTGCCTCCCAGGTGCGGATGCCGTCTTCGCCCACTGCTCCTGCGCCGCCCTCTAACCGCCCGCCAGAGTCCCAATGGCGCCCTCGAGAGCCGCCTCGCGCATCGCCGCCTCGGCCGCCCTCAGCGCCCGCCGCTGCGCCGCTTCTGCTGCATCCGCCCACACTCCTCTGACGCGTCGTTGCTACGCGCAGCTGCTATTTTCGCACAAGACCCCGACGCCACGCCCAGCTCGAGCCCACGCCGCACCCTTCGCACAATGCCCTGCTGCCGCCCGCCGCTGCATGTCGAGCAGCCCGGCCCCCGAGCCGCCGGATTACCTGTCTGAGGGCGAGCTGCATGTCTTCAATAAGATCAAGGATAATCTAGACCCTGTGCGCCTCGAGGTATGTCAGCCCATATCAATTTAACCCTTCCCCTCTCCTCCTTCACCCACCGTCTTTCTCCTCGGCTATGGCTTTCGAAATGTGGAGAAGTCGAGAGCTAATGATTTTTTTTTTTTGCCGAGCAGGTTCAGGACATTAGCGGCGGTTGCGGTTCCATGTACGCGCTCGATATCGAAAGCCCCAAGTTCAAGGGCTTGACCGTCATCAAACAGCACAAGTTGGTCAACGAGATCCTGAAAGATGAGATCAAGAGCTGGCACGGCGTGCAGTTGAGAACCAAGGCCGCTGCATGATCGCCACTTTGTATCATATCGCACATCTTCTTGACTTTTTGGAGGAGATACGGACAACACTCTCCTCTCTTTTAGACGGGCGGCATTACTGCATATTGGGTTGGCTATGGTATCTGGGTCTTGGGGGGCGTGTAGGCGGCTCATGGTCGACTGGGATTTTGTAACGATACCTGTAGAGATGGGACAATAATGTAACAATATTGAAATATCCACACGATGAATTGTTCCTCCTCGGGTCTTGCTTGATATTAGTATCCCCATTTTTTCTTTTTCTTTTTTCGAACGTCGCGACCTCCCTCATCTTCAGCAGCTCTCCGCATTTTTGCGGAGGCCTTGATCAGATCATCCTCTCGTTTTTTCTCATTCTGCTTTCACTTCGCATCTCAGATGACTCAGAGTTCCTTCAAAGGGAAGGTTACTTGCCCGATGCTGTGCTTGGGGTTGCTGACAACATCGTTTCCATGATAGCGGATGTATCAGAGCCGGTAAATCAGCACACTCTGCCAACTCTACTGGAAAATGGAGTTCATAGCGACGCAATAAAACTTGCAATCTTGCTCATCACTAACCTGGGATCTTGGAAAGTATCGTTTCAGTAAGAGACAGCAACATAACGATTATCATTGAGCTTAGGAGCTGAAACGCATCATTATGAATGATCAACATCCATCGGGAAGAGTCCTTTGATATCACGTCGCTAGAGGCTCTCCAGACAAACAAAGGAAAGCGAGAAGAAAGTACCGAGGAAATTGGAACTTGTGATCGTGTAGTAGGATATCACTTGTTGAGCGGATTACAATGGCTAATCAATGAATCGAGAGGCGAGAAAATACCTTTTATCACATGTAGCATGTATTGCGAGTACTGTAGATACCATGTGATTCCGTTTTGCAAAAAATTGAACTAGAAACACCACACGCTGAATGCTTCGGCTCTTACAGTGTGCGGAGGAACCAGTTCCCTGCTCTAACTTTTCTTTCTTTTACTCTTAATCCCATGGTCTCTGAAGTCTAACAAGTTTCCAGTGTTGCTCTAACGTAGCTGTTACCGTCAATGAGAAGGAAACACGTATCATTCATGAAAGATATCAAAGCTCCCGTAGCATATCACTGATCATTCTTCAACAGTGCATTGCTTCAGCATCCGGCGTTGAAGCAGCAACACATCACCAGCATCCAACACCTCCGAGTTGCCAACTGAAAGCGTCGGTCTCTGTAGGGGAACCAGCCAGCAAAGAGATAAACCGTCAACGGTGAAGACTTGTGCAAGGTGGCCAACAATCAAACATATTTGTTTGTCTTTGATTGTTGGCCACCTTGCACTTGTGCGATCATAGCAAAGAACCAGAATCCAGTGTATCGTTGAGCGGTTTTGCTGACAATCTTTGAGGAGACTTGAGTTACTTCAAGAAGCCTACACCTGAACGTTTGTTTCAACTTGCCCTGGATCTGTCCGCCTGCCCGTTGGCTGGGAGACCTTGCAGTCACCGTACTGGGAAGTATTCACATGAGCGAGTCGGCCGCTGCCATGCAGATGACTGAGATGATAACTCAGCATGTCCATGACGTGATGACTCCATTGGACGAGCTGGTACTCGGTCTTCAGTTTGCTGACTTATAAAAGCAAGGCTAGGGGCATAAGTTTTCAATTCATCGACAACGCTCAGTGTTTGTTTTGGCTAGCACTTAAGAGCGGCGGCACTGAGCGGACCTCAAGGACAAAATGCGAGTATCACTCGGGCGGAAGGTGCGTACTAGAGGCTCCCTCGCCATCAGGAGTCCAGCTTACACCAGGTTCACCAAGAGGCCCAAATAATGAGGAATGTCAACTGTCACTAAAGCTGGTAGGTCTTTTTTGCCCAAAAGAACAGTGAACAATTCCTCGACTCATTTCAAAGAGTAACCATCACCTCTGGCGCTCAGGGAACTTCGACTTTTCTGCTCTTTGCTCCTCACCCACCACTCCCAAGCCACCCTTGACGCCGTTTTACCTAGCTGCCGATCTCACATGACATGGACAAAACTCCTCAGTTCCCTCCCGAAAAAAAAAGAACAGTGACATCCACCAACAATGGGAAACGCTGCGCATCTCCATCGTCAGCATCCAGCGCGTGTGCTCCCTCACACCAGGTCGCCAACCATATCGACCAAACGAACCACGCAAGCCTCATTGCACGGCAGGGCCGGAAAGTACGATGATCGACCTTGTTTGTGCCCCCAAACGCCAGGGCGAGCGAGCCTCGCTATCCAACAAGGCAGCAACACACCAATCAACCTTGGCTGTGGCATTCGCGCCCGTCCACCCTCCCTCCTCCTGTTAAACAGGCCCGTCGCGATGCGATGACCAGCTTGCACGCTTTCCTCCACTCGACCACCACCTATGTCAGCTGCATTGCGGTCCGGTCCGGCTCATGGGATGCCACGTGTTTTTATAGAAGGGAGGGGAGCATCATGCTGCATGCGGGCTGCGACGTCGTAGGCTTGTTTATGCAGCGTCCCGCAGGCAGTCGAACAAGAGGCATTCGCGATGGCTCACGACAGCCAGCATCACGCTGAGAGGAGGCATCTCAGGGGTGGGTGTCGGAATCAAACGCTGGGAAACGGAACCCGCGATCGATCGTTTCCGGCGGCCCACCGAGGCTCTCAGCGCGAGCTGCAGCCAGCGCAAGAGATATTTGGTGCCCGCCGAAAGTCTGAGATGGCAAGCTGATTGGACGCTACGTAACTGGAATGCAAATGGTAGCCGACGTGGTCGTGGCGGACATTCACAAATGGAGAACCCTGGTGACGGAAAGCGTGGATGTGATGATGATGATGGATCTGGAACCGGAGGGGTTCTAGACCTATGCATGCCGGATTGAGAGAGGACGCGTACTTCTTTACGGACCGCCATGCCGGTGGTTTTTATTGTGTGGTTCGGAACCGCTCTTGAGGGTCTTCTCCTCTGAGGCCAGACTCTGCTCAAGCTGAGCGTGCAGGTCCTGGAGCTCTTCCCTGTCTTGGGGATCGCGAAGCGTCGAGTCCCGAGCCGGTCTCCAAGTTCGTCGAGGACCTCCTTGGTCCCCTCCTGTAACAACAGGCTACGTTCCGGTCGAACTGCGCGTTTTAATCATCACCGTTGTCTGTGACGACGGCACGCGATGTTGAGGGAGGTGTAAGCTCAATGACTTAGACGGGGAAGCCGATATGCAGTACTTTGCGTCTCTGGCGGAAGTCGGTTTGTCTGAGCGGAGAGGTCTGGTAGGGCCGGGGGGCGCCTGGTGGAAGGGCGGGGGTGCGGCGATGATGAGACGCAGCATTTGTGAAGTTTGGTGGGGGTGGGCATGGTGGATCGATGGATCTGGTAAGCTGTTGCCGTTTGAGACGCCGTGGTGCTATGACTGATCCGCAGAGTGAACGCTTGGGGAGCATGCATGGGTAAAAGTCAAGTGTTTTCTGTTGGACACCGTCTTATACAATACACTATGGTAACCGACGACCCGCTCGAGAATCCAGAGATGCCAGAGGATGCGTATAATAAAGCCATCTTCGTGCACATATGCGCGCTCCTTTTTTTTTTTTTTTTTGCATTCATCATCCGATTTGAGGTCGTCCTTCCAGCACAACAAACCCCGGAAGGCGCAGGGTAGGGTGATGGACAACAAGGTCCCGCTGAGCTCAGCCGTGGAGCCTGGGAATGGGATGGACTAAGCTGTCGGGAAAGGTGCCTGCATCCGATGACCTCCTTCCGGCAAAGTTGTTATCGACGGCGGCGAGCACGTCCGATATCCTCTTCTCGCTGGCGTCAGCGAGGATCTGCTGGGAGGCCCGGGGGTTGGTTCCAGGGTGCCTGTGAAGAAAGGGGTGCATCGACGGACGGAGAGCCGGATACTCGCGCATTTCGGACAAAGTGAGAGAACGACGAGGAGCCAGGGCGGAGTCGGAAGCGTCATGATCCCTTGCAGTGTCTGTTGGGCGCTGTTCGACAAGCAGTTCGAGCATGTCGAGGACTGAAGCATGCGGCGGCATCACTCTCCTGTCCTCGATGGGCGGAAAATGCCGGTCCCGTTGCAGCGTCAGAACCTCCGAGATGCCGGCGTAGTTTCTCTCTTCCTTCTTGAGTGACAGCTTTTCGTCTATGAAAAACCCCATGGCCACATGCTCCGCGGCGAGTCGCAAGGTTTCTATGGCGCACTTCGACAAGATTGGATGCATCGTGAGAGCATGTTCAAAGCGGGAACCTTTGCAGTAATCATGATACTTTACGGTGATGGGGAAGAACTCGCGTTGCCAAGGCGGAGCATTGCGCATATCTTCAGGCATATGTTGTAGCAGCAGGCATACGACGTCGAAGGCATGCAACCTCTTGCTATAATTCCAGTATGTCACCGGCATCAAGACCTGCTCGACGGGACACACACGGGCAATGACGCGGTAGGGGCTAGCGCCGTGCCTGAGTAGCGCCCGAAGAATCTCCATTTGCGTGAAAGGCTCTCGATGGTGTGGTATGAACATGATGTAATCGATCAATTGGGATAGCGGCGTATGTCCTGATTCGTCGAGGATGTCGGGGTCCAAGCCGCGCTCCAGTAGGGTGTTTACGGTATTGCAAATATCGTTATCATTCGTGGTGGAGTAGTCGTAGATGCAGCCGGTACAGATGGTGTGCAGTATACCCGAATTGCTGACATCGATCAATTCCGCGAGGAAGGGAGCCATTCCTGACATCGGCGAATGAAAGACAAGGGCGTGTAGAAGGGTCTGCAAGCCCGGATGGCCGTTGTCTGGAAGATTTCCTATCAGAGTTTGCAGGTTGAGACCTGCTTTGAGGAACTCGATGAGCAGGCCGCGTGTGTCGTTCGCGATACTGTCCAGCCTGGATAGGTGTCGGTCTAGCAGGGGCAGTACGATCAGACGTTCCAGTCCTTCAAACTGTGCTCCAGCATCTAGGAGAATGTGGGCATATTCGTTCACAAGGGAATAGTCGGAACTGTAAGCACATTTGGCTCTGCGCTTCAATACCAGCTCAAAAGTGGTCGCTCCCCGATATGGGCCTTCAGCTGCAGGGGCATCAAGGAGTGCGCTGTGTGGCATGGCTAGCTGCTCTATTATTCTACGCTTGTTCGCGAAGAGGGCGGCTACCTGAAGCGCATGAAGTCCGTCCGAGTTGAGAGGCGCCATCGAAGACCCATTTTCCAATAGCAATCTCACGAGGGAGCAATCGCCTCGTCTGATTGCGGCCATGAGCGGCGTCTCGCAGGTCCGAAGGTCCTTTAGATTGACATCCGCGCCTTCGCGCAATAGAAGTTTGACAACTTCCGGGGTTGAATGTGAGGTTGCCAGGGACAACAAAGATTTTCCAAGCACCTCCGGAGCGGCCGCTTCTTCGTGGAAGAAGGATGTGAAGCCGATATGCCAGTTGTTGACCACAAAGCGATATGGACCTTGGAGGAACGATTCCAGGCGTTCGACATGGGAGTGCTGTATGGAGTCTACGAGACTTGAGATGACCTCGTCTGGAATATGATGTGCCCCTACGTCGTTTTCGAGGGTGTTCGTGCGTGCCCTGCTTTTTATAAGCATCAATGTAGATTGCAAAATGAATCGCCACTCACACTTCCTGGGATGAATCAAGGATTGGGGTGGGAGAGATTTCCTGCAGATGTTCTGGTGGTGAAGCCGAGGGCCGTCGTCCCCTCTTGAAGCCCCATTCGCATAGTTTGGAGCGGTAGGCGCGCGTGCTATTCTGGGGTTAGCAAGGATGTTCTTCAACGCCACCCACCCATTACCGGAGGATGTCACCTACGAGGCGTTAAACCCATTTTCATTACGGAGATTCCGCGTTACCTCCGTTAAAGACTTCCCCTGCACAGCATATAACTCCCTTATCTTATCCTTCACCTGCAGCCAGTCTTTCGTCATAATTTCCAAGATGGGACTTTGGGAAAAATGCAAAAGTGAGGTGAGTTTTGCGACGGGGCTGGGTGCAGCTGTACAAGTAGGCTGAAGGCAGACGCCGCGCTTATTAGGTGGTGGCTTCCCATGGGTTTCTGCACAGTGCAAAAACGCTAGCTTGAACAGGAGAAGATCTGCAGTGGGATCAAGTGGGGACTGATGCGGGAGTCGAATTGCACAGTGCAAAAACCCGCTGCGCCACGTCCACGTTGCACCATAGTGTTTGGCAGTGTCAGCTGTGCCCCATAGGAGTAGAAAGTCGCCTGAATTGCACAGTGCAAATGCGCTAGATGATCCTGTTTCCCAGTGACTTGTCAGCCAAAGCCGAGATCGCCCACCGCCGGCCGTTGCCATGCGTTAGCGAATGATGAAGGTTGTCGGCTTCTGGGCGCAGAGGCTCGGAGTCGTGGGTCGCACGGCGCCATCCGCTCCCGCACAGTGTTCGTGCAGGAGCCGTACCACAGCCTTGCTCGTGAAGTGCAGGATATTGGGGAAAACTGCACAGTGCTTATCCTATGTCTATGGTTATTGGATCAGCCACCACAGGCTGTGGGATAGGTTTCTGCACAGTGCAACTCGTGATAATAATATAAAGTCTCTAGTCTCGACTTCGGCGGACTGCAACCAATCGACTATTTCAGACTTATGTCTGCTACAATCAAACAATCAGCGTCCGCAAAGCCAGCAGGATCTCAATCGTATTGATTTGTTTCTTTTACCTTTTGCGCACCTCAAAGATCATGTCGATGAACAAGACAACATCTGCTACGCATGCAGTATGCAGGTGAGCCAGTGCCCACCGATGCTGTAAGATAGCAACTGATTTATCTCCAGTAGCTGCGAGTGCTGTACCAACTCTGGCCCATCATCCACGGAGAACGAGGGCGGCAAGAAGCGCGCGATTACCCAGACCGTCGACCGGAACGAACCTTGCTTCCATACAACAGCCGGGAACCAAGCCGTGGACCAACATGCTGGCGACTCAGCAAGACTCCGACGACTTGCTCAGGCAGCTCGAGAGTTGGGGATCGAGCTGCCTAGCAACACTATGCGTTTAGAGGGACTTTCGAATAGATGTCCGATGGAACGCTGGGTCAGTGATGATGGGTGCTACTCCGAGGTGGTGATGGCGAGCTACGGCGCAGATTTACGGCGAAAATGAATGGCAAAATCAAGGAGCTCCTGCCGCATGTCAGCCAACTGTCAGTACAGGCCTGGAAATGATGAGCGACGACCTTTCTTCAGCTCACCTTCAACGCATCTCTTCCACGATTTGGGCTCGTGCTTGGAGAAGCTTGAGGGAGGGAGTTGATGGAAGTACCTAGCGAGGAGTATATGACAGAGATGGTTGCGAGTCTTCCGAAATCTATTTGTCTATCATTCATAGCATTCTCCTTCTGATGACTTTCGAGATATGCTGAAGTCCTTTCAAGCGCTCCTCGCCGGTCTCACCGAGGTATAGAGATGCGACTGGCCAAGCGTGAATACCCCCATCTTCTTCGTCAACGTCAACATGCGCTCCTCCCTTTTCCAATATGCTGACGACATCTCGGATTTCTGGACCGAGAACTTCTTCAGATCCATAGAGGAAACACCAGCCTTGAGAGGGGGATGCTCTTGCCCAACGTTCAACATCTTTGCAGTTACCCGGAGAGACCATCGGGTCATCAATGGAAATTTTGTTGCCGGCGTACTGTTTTCCGTAAAGGTGTAGGCTGTCGGAGTTGAGGTAATCGCTTGCAGTATTTCGATTATTTGGAGAAATGATTGTGACCCAAGGTGAGATCATAGTAGCCAAAGCTGGGAGCTTGCCACTGTGACATTCATGGTCTGCAAGATAGAGCAGAAGACTGAGAATGAGGGTTCCGCCGGCGGAATCTCCGCCAACACACACTCGCGAGGGGTCTTCGATGATGGAAAGGACATGCTCGTACCCCGCAAAGAGTTGCTGAACTTGGGTTGGGTAGACGGCATCGGGTACGAGGGTGTACTCCAGGGCGAAGAGGGCTGGATTCTTGTAGCCTGCCTCTTTCAGGAGCGAAACCCAGGCAAGTAGGAATTCCATGTAGAAATAGCTGGAGCCCATTGAGAAGCCGCCCCCGTGGCAGTAGAGCACGACGATGTCCGGCTTGGTCTCTTCGTCGAAGGTCAGCCAGACGCCGTGGAAGCCATCTCTCCTCACGTCTCTCCAGGAGATGGGGGAATGAAGGTAGCCGTGGCGCAACATTCGCCATCTCAAAAATGGCAAGGATACCGGCTTCGAAAAAAAGACACGACCAATGAACGCGGGCATGCAGGCAAAGGCATAGCGCACGCATCTAATAACGAAGTCTTGAAATGGAGTGGCTCGCTGAACGAATGGAGATCGATCTGCATATGGTGTGAAGAAGCGTTCCCGAACGAAATGGTAGGGTATCAGAATTACTACGAGTGTCAGCGTCTTTCCAATTTGATAGGGGTAACGAGGATACCTATATGGGGCAGGGCATGAAGCACCCATGTCACTAGCTCTAGGAAATCAACACGGAGAAGCAGTTGGGGAGCGAGGAAGATCAGAAAGACAATGCAGTCCAGATAGGATATTTGAGTGAGAATCATGTTTCTTCAGCATTGGATGTGTGAGTTGAAGCGGGAAGTAGTGAACGAGCGAGCGAGCGAGTGGTCTGACGTCTATGACGCCGACAGGCTGGGCGCCTAGGCCGAAAGAAGGTATGCGCTCTGGATGCAAGCACCAACGCCGCGCACACGACGGAGGGCAGTGGGAAAGACGGACGGGTGGATTGACGCGCGGCGCAGATGACGTGAGGCGTCCGGGGTCCCGTCGGCAGGTTGATTAGATAAGCGGCGGGCGCCGTCACGTGTTCCTGAAATTTCCGCCGCCTCATTTGCTGCTGGCCGGCGGCCTGCCATCACCGTCACCACCGACCACGTCAAGCAACCTGCTGCTTTCACGCGCCACGGGCTGGTTGCGCGCACGCAGTTGCTCTGTCTCTGCAGACTCTCACTCTTCTCCCCCTCCCCCCTCCGTTCCACCATCAACCCCGCGCTGAAGCTCCAATGCGCTGAAGCTCGCTCCACCTCCGGCTGTCCAGCAACGACCTCCGCTCCCGCGAATTTCGCGTCTACCGTGCACAGGATTCCGCCGCGGACTCGCACTCGCAAGCTGGGAGCTATGGATTTAGCAAGGTGCGACGCCGCCTCCAACCCCGCGGCGCTGAAGCCGGAGCTGACCCGCCACCTTTCTAGCTCTCTCACCCAGGAAGAAATTCCTATCAAGCTGCGATGCGCCATCTGCAACAAGCTGGTCGTCAACGCTTTCGGCCTGCCGTGCTGCGACCAATCCATATGTGGGAACTGTAAAGACATCTCCCTGTGCGACTCGGTGTGTCGATGCTGACCTGCCTAGGCCAATCTTCGCTGCCCGACTCCTGCCCCGTATGCTCGCACAGCCCGCTGTCCGCCGACGATTGCAAGCCGAAAAAGAACCTGCGCCTCACCGTCAAAGCATACCTGAAGTCGGAGGAAAAGAAGCGCGACAAGGAGCGCTCCGTCAGTGTTGCGGCCAAGCCCGACACTCCCGTAACTCCAGGCGGGACAGCCCCACCCGTTGTTCAGTCCATAGAGCAGCCTCTCGATGCGCCCGACCATACTCCCTCGATCGCCCCGCCGGACGCCCAAGAACCGAAAGACCAGGAACACGGCGACGCGGCCCAGGCGAGCGAGGCGCCTCAGGCTGATACTGCAAACGCGGCTGCGGACCAGGCGCAATTCGAGGTGAGATCGGTGGATCTGTATTTCGGAGCGAGGCTGATAGCGTATAGGGCGCGAACGGATCCGAAAACCACCAGGACCAAGACCTGAACGGCCAGGATACCACCGCAGACCCCGCCACCGGAGAAGACGCAAATTCCGAGGACAAGGAGGATGGTCAAGACGGTCAAGAAGGAGCTCAGGAAGTTCAGGATGCGCAAGGCGAAGGCGAAAAACAAGCCGGAAACTGGAACTCGGGAGCGAATGGAACGCCAGGCCAGATGTTCGGAAACGGCTTTGGTTTTGATCCCAGCCAAGCTGGGTTCAACGGCATGAACTGGACCGGCCCTGGAGGCTTCAACCCTCTGATGATGAACGGAATGTCCAATGGCAACTGGAGCAACTTTGGCATGATGGGTAAGCCACTCCAGTCTGGTGTCTTCCGGCAGTGGTGCTGACCAGAAAAACAGGCATGTCCGGCATGGGGATGGACCCAATGACCATGTCCCAAGGAATGTTCGGAGGCTTTGGAGGTCAGGGCATGGGCATGAACGGAATGAACATGGGCATGGGCTACGGCGGAGGATACGGTGGCGGATGGAATGGACAGCAGATGAGTGGCAATGACTTTGGTGGCGCAAATGCTGGCTATTATCCCGGAGGTGGATATAATCAACAATCGCACCAGCAAGGGCATTTCCCGCAGCATCAGATGAATCATCATCACAACCAGCAGTTCGCAAAGAATAATTTCCAGAACCAGAATCGCATCCAGGGGGCCGGCGCAAATCAGCAGCAGAAGCCAGTTGGTCAAGACCAGGAAGATGCGGGTGCTGGTCCTGGCCAGGCTGAAGGTAGTGCTGCTGCTGAAGGTCAGGTGTTAGGCGAGGAGCAAGGCGAGGCCGAGCATAAGGACTCCGCGAAGCATGCTTCGGAGGCGGATGCCGAGGACGGCGCCTTCGAAAACCAAGTTCGCCCGGACCTCCAGACGCGCCAGTCGTCACAAGCAGGTCCTGGCGACGCGCAAGAAGCGAACGACGAAGACGGGCCTGCCGACCAGGCCGATGCCGCAGACGACGCGCCAAACGACGAAGCCACATCTGGAGACGTTCCCGAGGACGGCCCAAGTGCGGAGAGCAAGGATGAAGGTGACACTAACCATACTGTAGGACCTGATGCCCAAGAAGGCGAGGCAGGCCAGATTCACGACCCCGGCGAGGGGCCACGGGAAGATGCGCAACAGCAAGGCCTCCAGCAGCCAGGACACGGCTTTCAAAACCAGAATTTCCCGCACCAGCCCATGGGCGGATTCGGTAACGCGGACCCTACTGCTATGGGCATGGGCATGGGCATGGGAATGGGCATGGGCATGGATCCTGCTTCATTCATGGGTATGCCCATGGCCGGTATGCCCGATCCTTCGATGGGTTTTGGGCCTATGAACCAGCACTTTGACTATGCAGGTCGTGGAAGGGGTGGTTTCAGAGGCGGTTACGGGCGTGGCTACCAGAACTTCCGCGGAGGATTTGGACGCGGGATGCATGGACCTGGATTTGGACCAGGGAGTGGTGGTTTTGGGGGAAACATTACAGTTCTTGCAGGCGGAGAACCAAAGGGGGTGGGTGTCGAGGGCGCTCCCACCGGGCCCAAGGCCATGCGCGAAGGGCTCCCAAACACGGGGGCCAGTGGCCGGTTGGGTAGAGCAGCATTCGCCGGTGGCGCAGGCAGAGGCTTGCCGCACCAAGGATCGGCCCCTCCATCCGAACACCAGCAAAGGTGAGTACCTTCCAACCCATAGGAGGCTAAGTTCGAGCTCCTGACTTTTGAGCAGCAAAACACCCGAGGACGGACCCAGTCGTGCTCACTCACCTTCGCGGCAGAGGTCGAAATCTCGGTCGAGGTCCCAATCTCGGTCGCCGTCTCGCCGCCACCGTCACCGTCATCGCTATCATTCTGCAGATGCCGCGTCGGAACCGGAGTCACGCGAGCGTCGCGAGGAACGGCGTCGCCACCGGTCGTCGCGCAAGTACGGGGAGGAAGACGAGGCTCCGCACGAGGGCTCCAGGGCGCGCGGCCACAGCAAGGAGCGGCCCAGAGACTCGTCCGTCGACTCATCCAGACACCGCAGCAGACGAGAGCGCGACAAGGACCGGCACCGGTCGTCCCGCTCCCACCGGGACCGCAGCCGCGAACACCGCCGACACCGGCACAGATCCAGGACTCCGGCCGCAGACGACCGCGACGACGCGGTCAGCGTCGCGAACGGCACGGACGCCGGCAGCGAGGCGGGCGGTCGCAGAAAACGCGACAAGTACCGCGAACGCGAGAAGGAGCGCGAGCGCGACCACGACCGCAAGGACAGGGAGAAACCCCGCGACCGTGACCGCGACCGTGACCGCGAGCGCGACAGGGACAGGGAGAGGGAGAAGAAGCGCTCCTCTCGCCGGGACTCCCCGTCGTATAACGATTACTCGGACGACGACAGACACCACCGCTCGTCGCGCCGCCGCCGCGAGAAGGAAAAGGAGCGGGACAAGGAAAGAGACCGCGCGGACAGAGCGGCGGCACGCAGGGAAGAAGAGCAAGCACAAGCAGACGGCGAACTAGAAGGCGAGTTCAAGATCCAAGGCCGCTCCAAGCCGCCGCCGAAGCCGGCAACGAACGACCCCCCGACGGCCGACTCGTCCATGCCCCCTCCACCAAAGGGCATGTCCAGCTCTCGGCCATCCCCGCCGCCGCCGTCGCAGGCCCGCACACGCGACCGCGACCGCGACCGCGACCACCACCGCGACCACCGCGAGAAAGGAGACAAGGACAGGGACCGCGAAAGCTCGTCGCGCCGCAACAGCGGCGTGTCGCAGTCGGGGGCCGCCACGACGGCGGACCCGGCTCCCTCCTCCAGCAGCACCGACCCGCACACGCTCGAGCGCGAGGCGCGCAACCGCGAGCGCATGCTCAAGGAAGCGCAGCGCAGGGCTCTTCTGCAAAACCAGCCGTCGTCGTCGTCGTCATCGACCGGTGGCGGCAGCAGCGAGAAGAGGAAGCGCGGGTACGAGGGCTACGAGGATGCGGGGGAAAAGTCGTTCGCGCCGCCCACGGGGCCCAGTGCGGAGCGCGACCGCCATGGTGGTGGCAGTGGTGGTGGCAGCAAGAGGCGCAGGGGCAGCGAGGCTGCTGAGAAGGACGAGCGTGGGAGTAGCAGTAGGAAGAGGCGGGTGAGTTATAAGTATGAAGACGAGGAGAACGACGAGGCGCGGGCGAGGCGGGTGGAGAGCGAGAGGGAGGCACAGCGATGGAGGTAAGAAGGACGTCTCGGTGCCCGCGCTGGACAGAGAGCGTCGGAAAGGGACGAGCAAAAAACACACGCCCTCTGGATGAGGTGCTCTAATCATTAACTGTACACTAGAACTCAGCCTTCCCCGTCGTGGCAGACGTGGCGATATTTTGATCAATCAATCAGGGCGGCAAAAACGATTTGGTTTTGGGAGTCCCTATGTAGAGCTAGCAGTGGCGGGAAAGAATTCTTTCATCATTATTCATTTTCATTTTGCCTTTTGGACTAGTACCTAGGAGTGCGAAGAATCATGGCGATAAGGGGGCGGAGATGAAAGCGACAAAGGGCAGCTTGGCAGTCTCCTATTCCCGCCCCAAGCACGGCCGGTGGCCGACGTGTTTCCGGCCGGCGCTTGGCCACTACCTATGGACGGGCCGGCACACCTGGGCTGCGACGCTCCATGCCCTGACCCTCTGCTGACGTACGTTGTGTTCCGCGTCACTGCTACTACTACTGCACTGCACCGCAGGCCGCGACAGCTGTCTCGGTACTGAGAGCAGGCAACCAGTCGAGACGTCCCACGCGCCGGGCCACGTCGCGCTCCTCCAGCCAGGGTCATCCGTGAACCTTCTCCAGCCGCCAAGGAATTCCGCTCGGGCCGGAGACGGAAGAGAAGCGACTGATTGGAATGGCTGATTGCGCCCGGGTTGCAGCCAGCCCTGCTGAAGCTGCTCGGACGCCCCCCTGGCTCGCACTCCCGGAGCCGCAAAAGCCAACGTCAGCTCTTACAAGTCCCTGCAGCCCACCCCCCCCTTCGTCGACGATTGAGACGCCTCTTTGTCGACCGTCCCTCAGGCTAATGATCCCCGCACTTGCCGCTAAAGCTGACCAGCCTATTGACCGGTAGGTGGGAGGAGCGAAGGCCACGGATGGTAGCGAATCGGGTGAGTTCCGCGGCGTGTCTACGTATGCAATTCTGCAAGCGCTTTTTTGTTTTTTCTTAGCAGCACGGATGGGAAACACGAACGAGAGGAGGAGGATCGCGATTCTGTGGTAGGTATCGCCGAGAAGGACGCTCGGGGTCGATGGTCCGCTTTTCTTGCTCGGTCGGCAAAAAAAAAAAGGACGAGAGGACCAGCAATGGATCCGAGTTCTTCCTCTCGTCCCCCGTGCCCCTCTCTAAACAGTACGTCCGCCCTTCTCTCGAAGAAGGACAATAAGGATCGCGGCGCGCCGCCCGAACCTGCTTCGCTCTTGGCGTGGAGGAAAAGGGTAACACGCACCACCTGCTGCACTCGAGGGGGAGGGGCCCACGGGAAACCGGTACTTCTTCTTCCCAATGTCGTCCGCGTGATCTTCTTTTGCTTTTTAGGTTTTGTTTCTTCTCTTCTTCTATACTTTCCCCGCCCCGCGTGCGCGTGTTTGTGAGTGAGGGCCGGTGTCGCGCGGACGACGACGACGACGACAGCGACGACTTCGTTCGCCTCCTCTGATCCGCCATGGAGATGACTCGCCGTGGTGTTCCCCGTTGCTTGTCGTTGCCAATTGTTGCCGCATGCTGGCTTGCTTCCTCGTTGCCCACGCTCGCTCAGGACCCTTTCACGAACAACGACGGCCTTTACAGTTTCGTCACCGTACGTCTCCCCTCTCCCCGACATCATCGCCTCGGAAATCTCTCTCTCCCTCCCCGCCCGCCTCCCCCACACCTCCGTTTCTTGAAGACGCCAGTCGGCAAAGGTGCCCACACCGCCAAGAAATGAGGTGCTCGCGGTCGGGGATCCACAGTCATCTTTTCTTAATCAGTGGGCGGAGCATGTGGCCGTCTGTCAATCCGGGGCAGGGAAAAAAAAACAAGAGCGATGCTGATCGTCCTTTTCCCCCTTCGTCTATAGCGCCCCGAGATCAGGGCACCTAAACTCGACGTCAGAATCTACGACAGGGATGCCGTCGCGCCCGGGTACTGGTTTGTGGCGCCGTACAACACCAACAACGCGTGGGAAGCGCACCAGGGCCCGCTGTACGAGTCGTGCCAGGTCGGGCCGGCGATATACGACGGCGACGGGGTGAGTGCGGCCAGGACCGGAGCCGCATCGCAACACTGACTGACTGACGACGGCGAGCAGGAGCTGATCTGGAGCGGGGCCTGCCTCTTCAACAACATGAACGCCTTCGACTTCCGGCCCATCGACTACGGCGGCAAGAAGTACCTCTCGCTCAACGTCGGGCGCGGCTCGCCGTCCGTCTACGGCGCGGGGCTCATCCTGTCCGACACGTACGAGACGGTGCGCGAGGTGCAGCTGAGCGCCCACACGGCCGACTTCAACCAGCACGAGTTCAGCGTCATCGACGACGGCGCCGCCGCGCTGTACGTCACCGAGCAGCCGCACCGCGTGCCCGGCGCCCCCATCGGCCTGGGCAACGCCTCGGAGCTGTGGGCCCGCAGCAACGGCGTCGTCGAGGAGAGCCTGCTGTGGGGCCGCGAGGAGACGCGCGACTTCGACTGGGACTGCATCGACCGCGTCCCGCTGAACGAGAGCACCTTTCCGTGGCCCGACGTGCCCGACGAGGGCCGCGGCTGGGACTACATGCACATGAACTCCATCGACAAGTTCCCCGACGGCGACTACCTCGTCTCCATGCGCTACTCCGACTCGCTGATGCGCGTCGCCGCCGCCGACGGCTCCATCGCCTGGCGCCTCGGCGGCCGCGCCTCCGACTTCGCCATGGCGCAGCCCGACGGCGACCAGCTCTCCTTCTCGCGCCAGCACCACGCCCGCATCGTCTCGACCAACTCGACCCACACCGTCGTCTCGCTGCTCGACAACGCCGCCGGCAGCCTCGGCACCGACGACGCCACCACCGCCGACGAGAGCGCCGCCCTCGTCGTCCGCCTCCACCACGACCCGGCCGACCCGTCCCGCCGGTCGTGGGCCGCCGAGCTCCTGCGCCGCCTCCCCCGCCCGGACGGCGACTACTCGCGCCTCCGCGGCTCCGTCCAGCTGCTCCTGCCACAGCCACAGCCCCAGCCCCAGCAGCCCCAGGACGCCGACGACGCAGACGCCGATGCCGCTCCGTACTACTACTACCCGTCCTCCCTCACCCACATCCACGACCGCTACCCGGACTGGGAATCCTCCGCCAACATCCTCGCCTGCTGGTCCAAAGACGGCTACGCCACCGAGTTCGCGCCGCCATCCCGGGCCAACACCTCCACCGACACCACCGACACCACCGACACCACCGACACCAACCCCACCAACCCCATGCACATCGCCGCCGAAATCCGCTTCGCCACCTCCCACCTCGACACCTACCGCGCCTTCAAGCACACGGGCTTCGTCGGCCGCCCCGCGACCGAACCGCCCGTCGTCAAGGCCTTCGCGTTCGGCGACGTCACGGGCCAGCATTCGGGCGTCGTCGACGCGAGCGGTCGCGGCGTCGGGCAGGCGATGACGGTCGCGTACGTGAGCTGGAACGGGGCGACGGAGGTGAGGGCGTGGCGGGTGTTTGGGGAGGTGGTGAGGGATGGGGGGGTGGTGGTTGTGGGTTCGGCGGGGGAGGGGGAGGAGGAGGGGAAGGAGGGGGAGGAGGGGGGGAAGGGAAAGGAAGGGAAGGGGAGGGGGCCGGCGACGTATGGGGAGCTGTTCGGGCTGGCGGGTGATGTTGACGCCGACGACACCAGTCCCCCGTCCCCATCCCCATTCCCGATTGCATCCCCACCCCCATCCCCATCCACCCAGCACCCCGCCGACGCCGACGAGAACAGCAAACCCTCCTCCCCGCAAACACAAACAACCCCCCAAAAGCGCACCCCCTCCAAAATCCCCTACCCCCCCGCCCCCCTCCCCCCGGACTCCCCCCCTCTAACCGCCCACCTCGGCACCTTCCCCCGCTCCGGCTTCGAGACCGTCCTCACCATCCCCAACCTGCCCATCTCCCGCCTGTGGGTCGAAGCCCTCGACAGCACCGGCACCGGCGCCACCGTCCTCGGCCGCTCCGAGACGGTGACGGTCGTCGTGCCGGCGGGCCAGCGGCCGTATGAGCCGGTCGACGTTCTTGCGGGGCAGCACGAAGGGGATGATGGTGCGGCAGCTGTGGGGAATGGCGATTTCGTGTTTGCGGATGAGAGGGAGGGGTTCATCGGGTTGGTGAAGGTGCCGCCGCAGGCGGTGGGGGGTGGGGCGTGGGGGTATGCGAGTGTGGTTGGTGGTCAGGGTGGAGAGGGTGACGCGTGGTGGTGGGGGTGGGTGGTGGTTGTTGGGGTTGGGGCCGGGGTCGGGGTGGGGGCGGCGGCGGTGGTGTTGGGGGTTTGGTGGGGGTGGAGTGTGTGGAGGGCTTGGGGGAGGAGGAGGAGGGGGGAACGCGGTGGAGGAGGAGGAGGAGCGGGGGGGAGGAGGGGGTGGAGGGGGTGGAAGGGCAAGGGAAAGGGGAAGGCGAAGGCGTCGGTGGATAAGGGCAAGTATAGGGCTGTTGCTGGGGATGATGGCGACGACGACGACGACGATGATTTCAATGGCGATGAGGAGGAGGCGATGGAGTTGGTGGAGACGTCGGGAAGTGAAGGGGGCAGTGACGAGTATCTCGGCCGGTTGGATTGGGCGCCAGTGAGTTTCGGGAGGGGCGCTGCGGGCGTGGGTGATGCGGGGAGGGGGAGCAGGTTCGACGAGGAGATGACGTTGGGAGATGTGAGGAGGGGGCTGGCCCAGGTGAGGCAGCAGCATCAGAGGAGCGCGAGCCAGGCGGAATACTGGAACGCGGGAGCCACGCCGTTGGTGATGCAGGCGAAGAATAAGTGGAACGAAGAGCCGAGGTAGGGGGACACGGAGACGAAGACGAAGACGAAGCTTGTTGTGTTTACATCGGCGCAGATGATGAGTCTGTTGCGTTTCATACCTTGATATCTCTGAGCATTTGAGCGCAATTATCCAGCATAGCGTTTACATAGCATGAGGCGGCGTTGGCCGGAGAAAAATGATTGTTTTGGACTTGACTACCGATCATTTCGTACAGTATCGCAACAGGAGGTGGGTTGTCAGATCGGTTATATCATGGCGTTCTTCATCACTGTTACAATATACTGCTCTCCACTATATGTCTCCTCCGCTTTCGTCAGCAGACGCATAGAACCCGAGGCTGCGGACAGACTCGAGCTAATGACAGTAGAACGTGTATTCATCGATGATACACCACAAGTCTGCAGTACCTAGTCTCACAGTACCAGACGAATATCTGTTGGTTACCAGCAGTGGAGATGACGGCGGGGGCGGCCCATTAGCATCAAGAGCCATGCGAATTAAGCTGCAGCGTGCAATGCGAGTTCCCCGTGACCAAGCCGTGTCGCGTGCGTGAGGGGCCGGCTTGTGATACGATTGACGCACTATGAAGTAACATGACTCTTAGCATATGGGCTGATCACTGACTGTTCCTTTAGATGGCCCGGTGCAACTGTCACAGGGCTTTCCTATATCAGTACTCTTTCCTTAAGGACGCAAGCTGGCTGTCCGCGGAAGATAACATGATTGTATTCCCGTCTATGGGTCACACGACTCATCGGTGTCGCTACTGTTTGCTGAAGCAGAACACAATCACTCGGCGATTGAGGAGTCTGGGTAATTGTATGCTGCTGTTCTGGTGAAGGATGTCTGACTCGTGTTGACTTTGACAATGGTGTTCTGCGATTTTTCTTAACGATGAGGCAACCCGTGGCCCAACAGTGACGATGCTGTAACTTTCTTCATATGACACCCATCATCGAATATTATACATGAAAAGTTCAAACGCCAACTCCAAAAGCACACCAGTAAACTATAATATCTGATCATCCAGACCCCGAAAAAGTGTCAAAACCCCCTCTCGCTTTCAAAGTAGCAACGCCTTTCGACCTCACTCTCTCTTCGAGATCCTCACATCCAAGCCTTTCTGAACGACGAAGAAGTAAGTATGAAACTCCAACTCCCGCTCCGGATGCACCAGCTCCATATTGTAATCCCTCAGCAGCATCGGCAACACCTTGTTCATCTCCAGCAGCGCCAAGTTCTTCCCAATACACACGTGCGAGCCGCCGCCAAACTACAACAACAATCACCAAAAAGTCAGTCAATCGGCCTTTCATCTTCTCGCAACCACCACCACTCACCTGCAACATATGCCTATCCATCACCCTCGCCCTCTCCCCCTCCCCCTCCAGCCACCTCTCCGGCCTATACGCCTCGGCATCCCCCCCAAACACGTCCGCATCCCTATGCACCGCCCACGCATTGACGTCCAGCTCCGTGCCGGCGGGATATGTCGCGCCGTCGATCTCGGCGCCGCCGGCGGGCACGGCGCGCGCCATGGCGAGGCCGACGGCGGGGCGCAGCCGCATCGCCTCCTTGAGGCAGGCCTGGAAGTACGGCAGGTGCCGCTGCGCCTCGGCGAACTGGGGGACGGCGGGGCGGCGCGAGAGGTGGCCCGCGGCGGTGGCGGCGTCGAGCTCGGCGAGGAGGAGGGCGTGGATGCGCGCGTCGCGGAGGACGTGGTGGAGGAAGGATTGCATGGTCGAGGCGGTGGAGTCGGAGCCGGCGAAGCTGTGGTGGGTGGGTGGGTGAGCGGGCGTCGGTGAAGAGGGTGGGAAGGGGAAGATATGTGAAATGTTGCTTGGGAAACGGACGGTAGGGAGAAGAAGACGAAGAAGAAGAAGAAGAAGAAGAGGAAAGAAAGAAACTCACATAGCCCCGTGCGCCACGGCAAACACATCGCCCTCCGTAAACCTCTCCGGATCCCTCCCATGGGCCCTCAACAACTGCGCCAACAAGTCCCCCTCCCCATCCCCCTCCGCCTCCTTCTTCCCCCCCTCCTCCATCCTCCTCCTCACCTCCTCCCCCGCAATCCTCGTCACCAGCGGCGCCCTCCCCAACCCCACCCCCCGCCACGCCCTCCACGCCCAACTCCGCCTCCCCACCACCCAATCCAGCACCGGCACCTGCCCCACCGCGCCGTTGTACCGCTGACTCGCATCGATCGCCGCGATACACCCTTCCACATCCCTCCCCTCCGCCAGGAACCCCCACGCCCGCCCAAACGCCACCTCCCCCAGCACATCAAACGCAAACCAATGCACCCACGCCCCGAGATCAACCACCACACCAGTAGTACCACCACCCTCACACAACCCATCCAACCGCCCCCCCAACCCCCTCACAACCCTCTCGATCCTCGCCGTCTGCGCCGCGCTCTGCATCGCGCCCATGGCGTAGGCCGGGCCCGCGGCGCGGCGCTTGCGCGCGTGCTCGCCTTCGTCCGTCTCGGTGAAGATGTCTGGGTTTTCGGGGGGAGGGAAAACCGCGTAGAAGGAGGTCTTGTGGAAGCCGCGGCCGGCGGAGAGGATGGTGCGGGCGGCGGCGGGGTGGGAGAAGGAGAGGGATGTGGGGGATGTGCGGACGATGGGGCCTGTGGCGGTGGGAGGGGTTAGTCTTAGTTGGTTGGGGGGTTTGTTGCGTGGGTTGTTGCGTGGGTTGTTTTTGTTTATTTCGGGGGGTTGGGTTTGTCTGTATCTGTGTATGTGTGTGTATGTGGAGGGGAGGATGGGAAGGGAAAAAACCCACCGTATCGCTTGTGGAGGTTGATGTATGCGGTTTCTTGGTGCGTTGTCAGGGTCACGTATAGTTTCCACAGACGCGTGCCGGATGCGAGGAACGGGCCGGGATAGCGGCGGAGAGGCGAGGCGTAGCGGTTGGTGAGGAAGCGGAGGACGATGAAGATGCAAAAGGCGTACAAGGCGTAGATGGGGTGGGATCGTAGGTAGGAGAGGGTGGCTTGGATGCCGGACCCGGAAGTTTGGTCGAGGTTGACCGCCATGGCAGCGACGGGCTCGTAGCGGTGCTCGAATGGTCAAGAACGACGAACTTGTCGAGGCAGACGATGTTAGATTCGCCCCTCATATAAGTGCTCAAGTGCTCTCGGAGCTCGGAAAAGGGTGAAGAGTGCCCCCTCCCCGCGCATGCACTGCTCAAGCACGACGTATATCCACGATGACCCGAAAAGTATCATGTGGGGAGCGAGCGCATCGCACTACGCAAACATCCCTGTGTTCTATCTTATTCCCGGACTTGTCGGGCTTGACCGAGGGAAGGGTGATGTAGCCAGCGACAGCCACTCAATATCTCCTTTACCCCAGGCCATGCTTTTACCCCAGATCTATGGCGGACGGATTTGTCGGATTTAGCCTTGGTGCTCGGGCAGTGGACATGTGGTGTAGGGCTTCGGTGAGCTAGTGCAACTCTAAATCCTGTCAGCAGCCATGAGAAATGCCGGTCAGTAGCCGGATCTGTCGGCACGCTCCCAAAACCCGGCATTCAGTTCTGAGACCCGACGAGTTATCATGGCTCAGACCAGCAAACGATACCTGCTATCATGCTCTCTCACCCGTCACTTGTTTGTTGGAGAGCCGTTGCAGGATCCACAGGGGTATACGTACTCTGACGGAGACGCACTAGCCGAATGCGGGAATTCGTGCATCGTTGCAGCGCCTGCCTTTCACCGACAACCTTGGCCTTGGTTGCGTATCCCCGAAAGCCAATACTGAAGCAACGACAGAAAAGTATCGTGGGGCAGCTCCACGGCTCCGGGTATTGTGCAAAAAGCCACCGGCACTGACTGCCGCTGCCAAGGTTAACGATCCCGCATGTGGGGTCATCATGTCAATTTGTTGTCATCTGAGGACGGTCTCCGATGCAGCTCGAGATCGGACTTACGAGTACGTACCACCCTGTACGACCAGCCAGAGCCGCGAGCTGAGCAGTCCGTTCAGCCGCATATGGCTGACAATCTTGTCGGATTTAAATGGTCGACTGTCGATCGATTGACCCGATACTCCGCACGGCTGCGGGGATGCCCTTCTGATGTGGAGACCCAAACAACACTTCCTCTTCCAGTAAGCTCCAGGGTGAAGGTGACGTCAGCTGCCATGGGAGTGTGTGCCGCGTCCCCCTAAATCTCTCTATGAACTCGAGCTGATCTTATGATAAACCGTGTAGTATCGTGCGTCTGGAAGGTCAACGAACGTTGGGAAGGTTGCAACGTGTTTTTTGCGCTTGAATGCATCGGCCCAAGGCCTGTCAAATAGAGATTGCGTCTAGGAAATGCTCCTGGAAGCAAGTGTCTATGCGCTCCCTTTCGTCATCTCCCGCACCTACCACCAAGTCTGGGCTAACAGAGCACGAAAAGCTTCTTTGATACATGCGCTTCTACCCTCTTCCTTCTAGCAGCTGTCGGACCGTTGAGATGCAGCCGTCTTCTACGGGCCGCTTTCCCTTCACGTCTTGTATGCTCCCGCTTCAGCAGCGCCTTTCTCACTGGCGGCGAAAGCGCGCCAGAGCCTCTCTTCATCAAGCGGCTGGCTCGCTTCCTCCTGCTCCGCCTGTTCCGCCCGCTCCGCCCGCTCCGCCTGCTCCCTCATCTCCACCTCGGCCCCATGCGCCTGCATCCCGTGCAGCACATCCTCCGCCGTCATCATCCCGCCGGGGCCGGTATTGGCCGCCGCCGCAGCCTGCTGCTGCTTCCGGGCCGCGTACTCTGGATCCATCATGGTGTCGATCTTCCTGAGGACGCGGGCGGGATTGCCGGCGACGACGTGAAACGGCGGCACGTCCTTCGTCACGACGCTGCCGGCGCCGACGGTCGAGCCGCGGCCGACGGTCACGCCGGGCAGGACGACGACGTTGCCGCCGAGCCAGCAGTCCTCGCCGATGTGGATGGCGCCGCCGGACTCGGGGCCGCGAGTGCCGTTGCGGAGGAGCGGGTCGAGCGGGTGGGTGCCCGAGTAGAGGGCGCAGTTGGGGCCGAGCAGGGTGCGGGCGCCGATGCTGACGGTCAGGGTGTCGATGATGGTGCAGTTGGCGTTGACGTAGACGTTGGGGCCGAGCTTGACGTTGTAGCCGTAGTCGATGTGCATGGGGCCTTCGATCCACGGCTCGTCTTCGAAGAGGGCGTCGTCCTCTTCGCGCGTGGCGGCGGGCGGCGGCAGGGGCCGGGTGTCGTTGGAGATTCTGCGCGGGAGAGGGGGGGTCGAGGCATTAACGGCGAGGTTGGGTCGGCGCGGAAGTCACACGCGGCTGGTGACTTACTCCCTCCACAGCTCGACCAGGCGTCTGCGCGGAACGTCGCCAATGGTGGCGTAGCGCTTGCAGGCGTGCCGGCAACGGTCCCGGGCGGCGATGAGATCCGGGCTGAAGGCGTAATACAGCTCGCCGCGGTTCATCTTTTGCCTGTTTTCCGCCTCGTCGACCTCGACAAACATGATGGGCAACTGGACGCGTGGCGGGTCGGAGAAGAAGAGGATGGGCGTGCAGCAGTGATTTTGGGGAAGGGAAGCTGAAGCTGAAGCTGAAGCTGGGGCTGGTGTTTGGCGGGGCAAGCTCTCGGACGCGTCGGCGCTGCGCCCGAGGTGGATAGCGCCGACCACCCCCGCCATGCTGTATGCCGACGCTAAAATTAGAGTGGCTTTAAGTTGTTGCCAATCCTTCCACGAACAACTGCCATCGGCTGTGGGAGCGACCATCTTTGGTGTCTCAACGACTCTGGTGTACGCGTTGGAGGTGCTGAGAGGGTGGTTGCACGCAGTAAGACTCACGCCGCCGGGTACCTATCTAGCGTGTCAGGTAATTATTCTAGGTCTGGGCGAGAAACGAAGTTCGCTGTTTGACTTCAGTATATCTTTACCATGGCTGACGCATTCGCCCAACGCGCGGAAGAACCTGGCGTCGAATGAGACAGTTATGGCACACGCAATAGAGTTTTTTTCGCGACCGCTTTGGTTTCCCAAAGGAGTCTGAGACTGAGCAAGCATACTTTTGTTCTTCTTCACATATGTCACACCTGCTTCGCCTTGAATTCGCGCCCCGCTTCCGGAGGCTCCGGGCCGGATCGACGGCGGCGACGTGATGAGGGGATAGTGCCAATCAGGTGCGCAAGCCAAGGGTGATGATAATAATACAAGTGATGAATATAATAACACAGTCGAGGTTAAAAGGACGTTAGGTTTTACGGCCGAGCGAGGAGCGGCGCTAGGTACTAGGGCTCACCGCCCGGGAGATCGGGTCTGGGGTCCCCGTTTGCGGCGTCGTCATCGGCTCGTCGTGTGGCTTTGTTCGACTCGCCCTTCTGACCTCCAGCCCGACGCGCCCATTGTCCTCCACTCTCCCTTCGTTTCAACCGCCGCTCCTCTTCCTCTCCACCCGCGCCCGCTCGCTTCGCTATGCATCTTCCTCCACCTTAGACATCTGCGACCGTGCTTGCGACCAACCTCAGCCCCGGGCAACAGAAGAAAAAAAAATAAAAACCACCGCTCTCGACCGCGCGCCGCTCCCCAACCTTCGAAACCATGCCCGCCCCCTCGGACGCCGCCGCAAACGGCTCTGCCGCACCGACGACGAGCAGCCCCACCACAGCCCTCAACGAACCAGCGGGCCCCGGCCCCTCCATATCCTGGCCCGTCAACCGCCCGACAAGCCGCGGCAAATGGACACCAGAAGTCGACCACGATCTCCGCCAGCGCGAGCAGCAGCAGCAGCAGCAGCAGCAGCGCACCGCTCCCACCCCGGGCGCCGGCACCGCCGCACAGCACCAACAACAACAACAACAACAGAAGCGCAAGACGCCCGAGCCGCCCGCCATCCTCGCAAAGGAGCTCCTCCCCGGCGCGCCGCGCTCACAATCAGGCATCGGGTCGCGCGCCTTCTTCCTCGGGCAAGCGCTCGGTCTCAGCATCGCAGCGACGCTGTACCTCGCGCTGGCGGCGGGCAGCGCGTCGTGGCGCGCCCCCTTCTTCATCGGCACGCTGTCCGTCTTCCACTTCCTCGAGTACTGGACGACGGCGCGGTACAACACCCCCGCGGCGTCGACGCGCAGCTTCCTCTTCAGCAACGGCAAGGAGTACCAGATCGCGCACTCGACGGCGCTGCTCGAGCACGTCGTCACGCACCTCGCGTTCCCCGGCTGGCAGGCGCGCGTCGGCTGCGGCGGCGCGACGACGGCGGCGGGCGTGGCGCTGATCGTGCTGGGGCAGACGGTGCGCAGCATGGCCATGGCGACGGCGGGCACGAATTTCAATCACCTCGTGCAGAGCAGCAAGAAGAGCGATCACGTGCTCGTCAAGGACGGCGTGTATGCGCTGCTAAGGCATCCGAGCTACTTTGGCTTCTTTTGGTGGGGGTTGGGCACGCAGCTCATGCTGGGGAACGTCGTGTGTCTTGTGGCGTATGCGGCGGTGCTGTGGAGCTTCTTTAGCAGGAGGATCAAGCGTGAGTTGCACTTGTTCTGAGACTGAAGGTGACGACGAAGAGCTGACAAAGATGGTGGACAGACGAGGAGATCTTCCTGATCAATTTCTTTGGAGACGAGTATCGCGAGTACCGCAAGGCGACGACGGTTAAGATTCCGTTCATTCCGTAGGCGTCTTTTGCCTTCCGAATGCTGCCGGCGAGTAGCTGAGGCGGGAAAGCGGACGGGCGATCGGCTTTGACATGATTACCACAGGGCGAGGCATTCATTTGCTGCTCTACGGCTTTTTTATTTTGTTACTCCTGCTTACTAGATCAAGATAGTTCCGTTTCATTTTACTAGAGGGTTCTCGGTGTGATCTATAGAGGCATGAGTGGAAGTGATGCCTCTTTCTCCCCTTCTGATCGCGTAATGCCTTTTCCCCACACCAGCCGGCTGCATACGGTGGCTCCATGCAACGGCTTCCGTGGCTCAATTTCTGCTGCTGCAATGCAAGGAAAAGGGGAGTATTCCAGAAGGATTCCACCACCGGCTCATGCAGGCGGAACCGCAAAGGCTCAGCCCACAGCTCGCATGCAGGAACCCGTACCCTTCGGATGCCGAAAGCCGTATTTTTTTTCTTTTTTTTTCTTTCCCACGCGCTATTTCTGTCTCACTTTCTCCTCGGAGCCATCTACGGCGCTCCGTCTCTCTCTCTCTTCTGCATTCACGCACCCGACCACTAAGCTCTTGACGGCAAAAAGAAGCGCGGCAGGGATTTCGGAGGCACACGAGGATCGGAAACCGAAGGGGAGCCTAGTCCGTGGAGGGGCTGTCGTTGGTGTAGCACAAAGGCTGACTGACGCTTCCGGCAAAGCTTCGACCACGAGGGCGACATGGGTGGGCGTGTGTGGGTGGCGCTTTGGGCTGGGCTCGGAACCTGCTCAGCACAGCTCATGTCAGATCATGGACCGCACAGAGAATGGGCTTGGGCTTCGTTTTTTTTTTTTTTTTTCGGAGGCGTCTAGGCGCACGTGCGGGTGTGAGACGTGACGGTAATGCGCGCCGAGTGTCTGTCTGTTTGACGCTCAGCTCACGAGCAAGTCAGGCCCTTCCCGTACTTGTTCTCGTTGACGCTGCTTCCCCGGACAAGGTTGTGTTGGGTGTGCTTACATGGAGTCTAGGCTACAGAGTTGGGCTGCGCACTGCTCGAAAGATGGTTTGATGGAGAGAGCTATGGTCGACTGACGGCGCCGGCTCGCAAACCTTGGTTGCACGACGCGGAGCAGCGAGGACAGAAGAAAAAAAGAAATCAAAACTGAGATCAGAGCGAGGAAAGGGAGCAAAGTCGCCTCTCGACGCATTTGCTTTTCCCGGATCTTCGCGGGCAGCCCGTGGCATTCATCAATCGCGATCGCACACCTATCTAATGACGATCATCCTCATGCATCACCGTCAGCAGAAGAAGCAAAACCACCACCTACTGCTGCGGACTCGCCTAAGCACGCTTTGGTAGCCGGCAGGGGTGGGCCAGACCAGGCGCTGAGCTTGGCGGGTTCGGCGGCCGCGTACGTGGCAGGGCTGATGACTGCTCTCTTGTCCGGAGGGTCTCGTTAATATAACTCAGGGTCGGCTCTTGTTTTCCCTTCCAGTAGCGCTCGGGAGCATCAGCCGCCCACCGCCCGCCAGCGGCCAGCGCCGGGGGCCAACCGGATCCGCACCCGGCATGACCAAGACGGCAAATGAGGAGACATGGTATCGACCGGGGTTGCGGGATCCATCACGTGCGTCGCCGTCTGGGTGTGCCCGTCTCTCGGCTGCTCGTCGTGCTCGGCCTTCTTCGTTGTTGTGTATGCCGCGCATTGTCGTTGCCGCCGCCATCTTCTCAAGCCTCGGGGTAAGCCTCAGGGTAAGCCTCAGGGTCTAGAGCCAGCTTGTTCGTATGCGGAATGAGCGGGCAGCTCCCCAGCTTTGGCGTCGTCCCTCTGTGGCACGCAGGCTAGGCCGGTAGCGGCAACTGCGGCCGTTGCGGGCTCGCTTCCATGCACGAGATATAAAATAATGCATGGGGCACCGCGCACCGGATCAACCCCAAGCCCAGAACACCACATGCTGGCTCTCGCTCGTTCGTCTCTCCACTCTCGCGGATCCCCGCCGTCTCTGGCCTCGTTTTCCGCCCAACGACAGACGGTCAGCACGCTCAAACGAAGGCCCGCCATCCCATGGCCCGGCGTGCCCGCCCCCAGGTTTCACTCTCTCTCTCCCGCAACGCCCCCACCCAGCCCGCAGCCGCCACGGCCGATGCCAGTCCCGCACCCAGCCAACGACCCGTCCCTGTTGCGGCTCCGGGGCCCGAGCTCCCGCTTGATTGAGAGCATGCCTGTCTCGTGCCCGTCTGATGGTGTCGACGAACACACCGTCGGGAACCATGTGCCTGTGCCTGCGCCATTTGCCGCGCTTTCTACTACCCAAGCCTTCCGTTTTCGCCACTTGCTGCCGTCAGATATATATCGTCCGTCACATATCGTCGCCTCACTGCCGTCTTCGTCTGGTGTCGCTCCCCTCGGTGCTCTTTATCCATCCCGCTGCCCACCACCCCGACGACACGCGCCCATCGCGAGCATACGGCATCGCGATGACTTCAAGAACAACCCTATACCAACAACATAGTCCAACAGATTGATCCAGGCCTCGTATATCGTCCACGACTGAGAACTGCGAAAGAAAAAAATAATACCAGTGTCGACAAGAGTCCAGCCCGACCACACGCCGATATCCCCATCCCCATCCACCACCACCATGGACGCCCCCTTCCCCTTCGACACCCTCACCACCACCGCCACCCACCTCTCCACCCTCCTCCGCGCCCAAACCCTCACCTCGGTCGAGCTCGTCGACGTCTACCTCGCCCAGATCGACCGCCACAACCGCAAGGGCCGCCAGCTCCGCGCCATCATCTCCGTCGCCCCGCGCTACCACCTCTTCGCCCTCGCCCGCCGCCTCGACGACGAGCGCCGCGCCGGCCACACCCGGGGCCCCCTCCACGGCATCCCCGTCGTCGTCCAGGACAACATGGCCACCGACGTCTTCCTGCAGCAGCTCGACACCACCGCGGGGTCCTACGCCTTCGTGGGCGCGCGCCCGCGCCGCGCCGCCACCGCCGTCGACCGCCTCGTCGCGGCGGGCCTCATCGTGCTCGGCAAGTCGAACCTGTCGGAGCTGGGCGGCCTCAAGAGCCCGGACATGGCGCCCGGCTGGAGCGCGGTGGGGGGGCAGACGAGCAGCCCGTTCGTCGCGCGCCGCCTCGAGAAGGGCGTGCTGATCTGGGACCACACGGCGCCGGGCGGGTCGGGCGCCGGGTCGGCCGTCGCCGTCGCCGCCGGCTTCGCGCCGCTGGCCGTCGCGACGGACACGGTGGGCAGCGTGCTCGCGCCCGCCAACCGCGCGGGATTGTACGCGCTCAAGACGTCGGTCGGCGAGGTGCCCGTCGACGGCGTGCTGGCGCTGAGCAGGAGCTTCGACGCCGTGGCCGCGGCGGCCAAGAGCGCGGCCGACGTGACGTTCTTGGTCGATGCCGTCATGCAGCCGTTGCCGCGCGAGCTCGAGGCCGGCATGCCGTTGCGGTATCGCATGTTTCAGGTGAGGGGCAGGTGGAACGGGCTGAGGGTGGGGTTCGTGGATCCCGCGATCTGGAGGGTCGGCAAGGATTTTTCGAGGCTGAATGCGGATGCGGAGAAGTATATGGTATGTGTGGGAGTTTCATTTTGTTCTTCTCTCCCTCCCTAGATCAGTGCCGGTGGACGGCTTGAGGAGGGAGGTGTTTTTTTTTAACTGACGTCTGAGGTGTGACACAGATGAGCATGTATGAGATGGCGATATCGAGGATACGCGATCACGGTGCCGTGGTGTCGTATCCCGTGCAGGCTCCCTCGCCGCAGGTCTTCAGGAATAACGGACCCATGAGCAGCTTCGAGATAGTCGCCTGTAAGTTCCTCCCCACCGTCAGCCGCAGAAAAACACAAGGACCCGTTCTGACGCATGCCCTTCTCTCCCAGACAAGGAGTTCAAATCCATCCTCGCCGACTGGTTCGCCAACCTCGACGACTCGCGCGTCCGCTCCCTCGCCGGGCTCATCGAATTCAACGCCGCCCACCCGGACATCGAGCTCCCCAAGCCCTTCTGCCCCGACCAGCACGACCTCCTCACCGTCCTCGGCGAGAGCTCGCCCGACGCCCTCGTCCGCGACCACCTCGCCGCCCTCCGCCGGCTCGGCGGGCCCGAGGGCATCGACCTCGTGCTCGACCACTACGGCGTCGACGTGCTCGCCGCGCCGGGCGACTCGGCCCTGTGCGAGCTCGCCGCCGCCGCCGGCTACCCCATCGCCGTCGTCCCGCTCGGCGCGCTCCGCTCCAACGGCCGCCCCTTCGGCGTCGCCGTCACGGCTCGCCGGCACGCCGAGCCCAAGCTGCTGCACTTCATGACGGCGTGGGAGAACGTGTTCCACCCCCCGCCCCCGCCTCCCTCCTCCTCATCGCCCTCGACATCCTCTCACTCCTCATCCTCGCACTCCTCGCACTCCTCCCACCACCACCACCCTTTCCACCAAAACCAAAACAACCACCACCACCACCACTCCGCCCGCCCCACCCCCCTCCCCCTCTCCTCCGTCCGGCCCTACCCCCCCACCGACGAGCCCCTCCCGCCCGACGCCCCCATCGTCGCCGTCATCCTCAAGGAGTGGGACGCCCGCGACTTCCGCCGCAGCAGCGACGCCCTCGCCGCCTGGCTCAACGCCCGCTGGCGCAAGAGCGGCTACAGCCTCGGCGCCGAGACGGTGTACGAGATCTTGAAGACGAACGGGCGGAAGGCGTATAGGGGGTTGGGGGATGAGGCGGGGGGTGCGTTTAGGAGGAGGGGGAGGTTTAGGGGGGATGGGGATGGGGGGGATGGGGATCATGGGGGTGGGGGTGGGGGTGCTGGGGGTGCTGGGGAGGGTGATAGGGGCGAGATGGGGGATTGGGGGGTGAGAGGCGAGTGGGATGAGAGGAGGGAGGATAGCAGTGGTGGTGAGGATGGGGGTGGGGGGGAGGTGAAGCCGTTGTTTGGGGGGCCGTCGTGATGCGTGATGCGCGATGCGTCATGGAGTGGGGAGGTAGAAGTGGAGGGGGAGGGAGACGGGGGAGGTGCACGGGGCGAGCGGGTCTCGTCTCTGGTGCTTCGTTTCTCGTTTCTTTTTCGTTCTTTTTATTTTTTTTGTTCTGTCCGTCCGTCTGTCCGTCCGTCTTCCTTCCCTCTTGGCCTTTTCTCTTTCGTTTTTCCTTCCCTCCCTCCCCTCCATCCCTCCCTCCATCTCTCTCTCTCACACACACACACACACACACACACACACACACACACACACACACACACATCATCTGGCCATGTGCTCTGGCGGCGTTTTCTTTTGCTGGCGTGGTTTTCGCATTCACAAGAGCGTTTAGGGTGGGTATTTCCAGAAACAAACACAGCGCCCGTGGGGTGCGCGGGAAGGATACATACATTGTAACAATTGGCGTTTACTGGGGCTGACATTCAGGTGGAGGCGGGGGGCTTTGAACAGGCCTTGTTTGTTCCTCTTGCTGAGCAACAAGAAACATCCGTGTGTTTTTGGCGGGGATGTTGCTAAGCTTTTTTGTTTGCTTTCTGTTGTGATATCCCGAATATTATATATATACGTCTTCTCAAGGCTTTGTTCCTTTTTTTTTTTTTTTTTGAAAAGGTGATAGCTGCAAACTACCTCAACCGAGGCAAGGCGCTTCACTGCGCTCAGTTAGGGATTATCTCATTGAAGTGTCTTGTCTGTATTGAAGCTACGGTTGTTTGCATACGTGACAGTTTGCCGGCGCGATGTGGTAAGAATAGTGGGGGAGAGAGATAGCGACACTGGGTGATGAAGGACAAAATATATCCATGATGAAGAAAAGCAGTAATTGATAAACGGTGTTGACGCATTGTTTAGGCAGTAAGCTAATCCTCGCACCCATGACTACATTATGCGGAGATGGGAAACACATGTCCCCCACCCCCCTTGTGGCAAACATGTGCGCAGACTCCCACTCTCCAGTTCCCTTCCCCTACATCCTCTCTAGCTTAGAGTTGTAATCTCTCTCTCTCTCTCTCTCTCTCTCTCTCTCTCTCTCTTCGTCCGGCCGTCCGGCAGTCCGTCTATTACTCCTACTGCTCCCGTGTTGCACACGGGGCTCGAGAAAAAGAGAAAAAAAACCGCACGAGCCAGCCTTTGAGTTTCCTTCCGAGGATGCCGCCGCCGGTGGCACACCGCATTATATCTATCCTCTCTTCTCGCGGGATAGCAGCATCGGCGTATCAAGCGCCAGTGCGAAACTGTGACAGCTCGTTCCACCACGCACTGTCCGCTTGTGTTGGATGGTCTACGCATGGGTTGTTTACACCCACGATATCCTCTTTGCTGGCTGGCGTGTGGTGATGATGACGAGCGTGGTGATGAAGGATACTACTACATCTTCGTGATGGACGAGAGCGTTGAGATATAATGGTGTTTGGTTGGTGGAAATCAAAGTATGAGAATGTTTTTTAAAAGTATGAAGGAACGTTTGAAGAAGTGTGGCCTAACTTCATGTTTTGTGTCACGTAGTGGAAAAGCCGTCCTTTGAACGTAATGCAGATAGACAGAATAAAGCGCCAGAAAAACACGAAACGTATGACACGTCCTTCAAAAGGCGCGAACCCTTACACAAAAGTGATGATATACATGTAAAAATGCTCCACTTGATAATGATATAGTATCGTACCCAAAGCGTTCATCACAATCATCAAGGTCGAATGGCCCCTTTCCATATATATTTACCGCCAATCTTCATAAGAAAGTCATCAGCAAGAAGAAGGAAAAAGCAAGGAATTGACTTGGAAAAAAAATTAGGAAACAAGAAAAGAAGAAACAAACAAAAAAAAAACGCGCGCAGTCTCATCGCATATCTCGTCATTAAAGACATTTCCCCTCCCAAATGGCCCTTTCCCTCCCATTTTTCATCCGTCCAGTCCAGTCCAGTCCCGTCCCACCCCATCCCGACATATCTCGTTGAACCCACCCATCAGGGGAATCACACCCGTCCCTTCCATTCCCAAGCAAAAGACCTCTCCCCCCTTCCCAAAACCCCACCCACCAACGAGAAAACCGCCACCACGCACACACCCACACATCACACACCACACATCCACACCCCACACATCCACACCACACACCACACACCCCACACCACACACCTCCTCCTCCTCACATCCTCCCCCTCACAACCCCCTCACATAATTACCCGGAAACAGCCCCTTCCGGCCGCAGTAGCAGCCCCAGTACCAGTCGCCGTTGATGTCCTCGGCCTCGCGGATCTCGGCGCCCTTGGGGAACGTCAGCTCGTCGTGGACGCCGTCCTGCGGCCAGTAGCTCCACAGCGCGAGCGCGCGCAGGCCGAGGCCGCCGTCGGGCGGGAACTGCTTTTTGAGGACGATCTGACCGGCGGTGGTGGCGGTGGCGCTGGTGGTGGTGTTGGTGGTGTTGTTGTTGGTGGTTGTGGGGTTGCTGGTGTTGGCGTTGGCGTTGCCGCCGTTGTCGTTGTTGCTGTTGCTGTTGTTGTTGTTGCTGTTGTTGGCGGTGCTGCCGTTGGGGTTGCTTGTAGCGTTCGCGTTGGAGGCGGCGTCGTTGCTGGTAGCGTTGTTGTTGCTGTTGGCGGCGGAGGTGATGGCGGTAGGGGCAGCGGATTTGGAATTGCCACCGTCCCTCTGTATCGAAGAAGCGGATGACGACGAGTTCGATCGGAAAAGGCCGGCCCGCATCCTCGCTTTCCTGATGGTGCCGTCCGTGTCCCTCCATCTCCAAGCATGCGGTGCGTCGACCGGACTCGTCGCGCCGGCCGCCGCGGGATCGGGCGGGGGAGGAGCGATGGCAGGAGCTGGAGCTGTTGGGGTGCCGGGCGTGTCGGCAGGGGTGGTGTTTGCGGCGGCCGTGGGCGCGTTCTTGAGCAGTGCGTTGTCCTTCATGGCTAAGCCGCCTACCAGATCTTTCGTAACCACGCGTCGCTGGCCGGCGTCTCGGTCTTCGAAGCCGATGACCACCATGCGGTGCTTGTGTGGGCAGCGACGCCAGCCGTTCTGCCCGTCCTCGGGCGCAATCTGTCCAGATCCAACGAGACTGTGGTAACATGACGTGCATATATCAGAGTTGCCTGCGTTGCATTTTTGACAATGGAAACGTGTGTGCGAGGGCGGGATTGGGTATGTGCATATGTCGCAGAGAGTGCTGAAAGTCAGGGGACGGAAAAGGAGACCTGCGAGCGAGTAGGTGCCAGGCCCGCGGATCAACGAGGCGGACTTGGGCGTGATCGGGGGTTGAGATGAAGACATGAATGCAGGCGACGAAGGTACTGAGCTGCTGTTGTTCCCCGATGCAGAAGGCCGATGCTGCAGAGGGAGTAGAGGGTGAGTGCAATGCCGCCCTTGATTTACGCAGTCATTGCAGAAGCCCCAAGCTCCTTCGTTGCAAATGTCGCACTTCCAATAGCAGCCATTGGAAAACGCAAGGCAGATGTCGCAGAAAACACCGGATTGGCGGCGCTGAGATGGATCCTCTTCGGTCAGAAGCACATCACCAGACCCAGAGCTCACGGGATCTTTCCGTGGCTTACTGTAACAGCGCCCTGTGAGGAAGTGAGGATGGTCATAGCCGGGAGGATAGCCGCCTGGAGGAGCTTTACGTTCATATCTCTCCCATGCCCTAGAGGGAAAGCCAAACCAGTGCTTACAGCCCACGCCCGAACGATAGCACCGCAAGCAAAGATTATAGTTGCCATCATTGCACTTTCGGCAGTTGTAGTGCAGTGAGTACTCGATATGCTGCTTACCACAACGATTGCACGATATTGATGGCTCAGTGTACGTGGGCCGTGGACCAGAGTTGCCGGACGAAGAAGGTCTTGCATTCAAATTTCCAGAGTCTGAGCTATTGTGGCGTCGCATGGGGGCGAGCACTGGAGTGTTTGCAACCGCCATCCGCGAATTTATCCCAGGAAACTGACGCAAATTTGCGTGAGCTTCAGCAGCGGCCGCTGGTGTGTTCAGCGGCGGACTGTGGAACATCTCTGAAGTGAAAACAGCTCGGCGAGGAGAATTTTCAGCAGAGTGATTTGCTTGCTGCCTGCTTAGCATAGCATCCGAAGCACGGACAACACGCTCTGGATCGGTCACCCTTCGGTCGTTCTGACTTGGCCGCTGCCTGTCTACCGCGTTCCCTTCCTGTGTTGTTTGCGGTCGGTTCGTGAGATCTGTCGCAGACCGGGCTGTAGGCCTGGTTGAGTCGATTGACAGACCTCTTGGATTGTGGTGGCGGCGCGCGGTCCGATTGCTATCCTGGCTCGAGGATCGAGTGCGCGATCCTTCTCGGGATCCTCCATTGACCGCCTCGAACAGATGGGGTCGAGAGACAGGTGGCCGGGAACGTGAATCGGCTTGAGACTGAGGTTGAGTTTGCGGTTGAAGAGGTGCTATTTGTTGGACCGCTTCCTGACTAGCGCTCTCCGCTCGTGGGCGCGGTCTCCTGGGGGGCCGATCTCCATCCACCTGGCGTGTTGCCGAGTGACTTCCGCTGCGTGATCGTTCATGATGCCTCGCTCTAAACCTGGCTCTTTCTCGCTCCCTTTGGCGACGGCGGAACGCAGCCGCAATCCTCTCCGTGATTTCCTCTTCTTGAGAAGTATCAATGTTCTCCAGGTCAATGCCGTCCAGCAGACCATCTTCCCTGATTTGACGCATGATCTCCTCCTCCATCTCTTGCGAATCAAAGTCGGATGTGCTCAAAAGTGACCGTAGGCTGGCCTGATGCTCGATCACGCGACGCGGCCTCGGGGACGTATCGCGGTTCCTCACAGCCTCTTGCTGAGCGCTCCTGGACGCGGAGGCATCTCGGGCTCGCCGGCGCCTCTCCTCCCGGTCACGGCTGCGGTTCCGCCGGCGGCCTTCAGCAGGCGGGCTGATGGTGTCGCTCCCACTACTGCTCACACCAACCTCCTGCAGACTAAGCAGGCGTACCTCCTCGAGCATGCGGCGGTCCTCGTCGTCCGAGTCGTCACGACGTCTCCTGCGCAGCTTCGGCAGTACGTTGTCGCCGGATTTGTATATCTTGCGCATCTCCTCCTTCTCCTGATCGGTCTTGCCGCGGCTCGGATTCGCGTGCAGAAACATTTCGAGGAGGGTGGTGACGGTAGCATTGGGCTGGGTGGCGCGCACGGAAGAACGACATGAGGGGCAGGTGTACGGGTGGGCGTTCGTGGCGCTCTGGGCCTGCCATGAGAACCATTCTTTCAAGCAGGCGCCGCAGAAGGTGTGCAGGCAGTCGAGCAGCGTTAGCGGTTGGTAGAGCACGTCGGTACAGATCTGCTCGCGGGGCTGTCAGCAATGCGTGTGCGCGGCCGCGTGGGCAGAGCGAGGGGGCGCCCGTGCTGGCGGGGGGTGCGGAATGAAGAAGCTGGGGGATCCGCCGGCCGTGCCCCCTAGGTGCGTCCTGACTCTCACTCACCGAGCATGACAGCTCCTTCTCCAGGTCCATCAGCGGACCGCTCAGCGGACGTCCGGCCATGTGGGTTGGGGCGCGCGACCTGCGCGACGGGGGCAGGATTGGGAATCGACGAGGGGCGAAGCGAGCGAGGGTGATGCTGCCGGCAGCTGAAGGTGGTGGAGGTGGAGGTCGGCGGCGCGAAAACAGTCAGCGGTGTACGGAGGATAGCGCGCCATTCGCTGTTGCGCTTGGCGGACTGGGGAAGGCGGTCGATTCCGGAAACAGAGCGACCGTCTGAGCTCCACCGCGCTGCTGGCGAGCGCACACGATGATTTCTGAGCGCGAGCTGGAGGTGCTGCTGCGCACTTAGCGCTGCGCGTGTCGTCAGTCAGATGAGCTGGCGCTCGCAGGCCAGCCGTCACCCTTCGTAGCGCGCCAAAACTACCCAGCAGCCGCACCCACAAAACACTCGCGGCCACTCGTTCGCTGCCTTTCGCCGCTGCCATACAATCCTCAAACACACCTATACCCACATGCACCATCCACGTCCCTATTTGGTCTACACCCACTCGGCGTGTCTCCCTCTCATTATTCTGTTCGATTGACCCTTGCACTGTCCGCCACGTGGGCCAAGTCAAGGTTTGAATGTCTGCAGTTTCTTTCTAATTTCCCCTTGGTCTGGCTTGGCTCCTCTCTCGCGGCGCGTTGATTGATGATTTGCCTTGAGCGATTCGTTTGTTACTTTTTTAGGTATTGTTTTTTGTTCATCCGATGGTATACTTGGCCCCTGAGTCGATCAGCCTTGCAAGGCCCTATAAGGCCAGCTCGGTCTCTATTGGAGGTACTCTACTTGCTTTCCATTCTCACCAGCTGGAGATCACATTAATTCAGAGTTCAAAATGGAAAGACTTTCAGCAGGTTTTAAGTAAGCCACATCCAATATGGTGATTTGTATAGTTTAAGTCCAACGACGCAACATTGGATCAGTTGCTTTCGCATAGGTTTGGATAACGAGACGAATAAAGATTCTGTGCATTGCTTCCGTCATTCTCCCGTCGCAGCAGTAGCTTTGACTCGCCGCGGATGGTGGCTGACAGTTGTGATACATCACAGAGGTACTGTACCGTCATATTGGACACCTAGGCTGTTGGAAGTCATTGTAGAGTGGCCCGAGTGGAAAACCCAGTTCTGCTGCAACAGTTATTGGCTCATACGAACTGCTTTTCGTCCAGTCATTGCGGATATCCAACGACCCGCACGATCGTGGTGGATAAGCATTCTTGTCCAATCAGCGTTACGTTGGATTGTATGTCCAACCTCGAGAACGACTCGAGAAGAGAATACGATGTGTGAGGCTCCTGGTCAGACTACCGCTTCGAGCCAAGACTGGAAGTTTGGTGTGCACTAGAGATTGGAAAGTTCCCTAGGCAGGCGAATAAAGTTGCCCGGACCCATGAGTGGTGCCTTGGTGGGCTCCGTGAGTATCATTATTCAAGTACAGCCTTAGGATTTTAATCGGTCGGCTTGATGGATAGTGGCCTTGCATTAGGAAACTAATGTGGAAATTCCATATCGTCCGTATCTTCGTCCATCGGTGCAGGCTTGCATTCCGGTAGACACGCAGCAAGGTGTATGCGGAATGTTGGGTCACCATGTGGTAGCCAAATTAAAGAGGGTGCGTGCTGCTTCTGGAATGAACGGTGGAGCAATGGCAAAGGCGACGTATCGAATACTTGGGAGCTCTAAGGGCTGTGTCAGATAAAACGATGATGCAATCCGTTTGCGCAATGCTGACTGCGTGGGCTTCGGCCGCTGTTGGAATTGCTGTTCCGACTGTCGTGAGATGCTGCAGCAAGCCGGAGCCTTGTGGCACAGCGTCGTTGACTCGCACAAAGACGCCAGGGAAATCCGCGGGGCTTAAACAGCTGAAAGAGCTCGGTAGCAAAGGCGCTCGCACAGGAACAATTCAGCTAGCACAGGAGACGGTGAGCGACCGAAACGACTGGCGGGATCTCCACCGCAGTGGCGCGGACCGTGACAGTTGTCGTCAATTATCTGAGTGGAGTGAAATGTGCTGGAGGTGAGGTGTCGGGCAAGAAGTGGCAGCAAGTGGCACGCGCCGCGCAGCTCCGATGATTGGCAGCATGGATTGAGCGCTCAGATGACGCTGTGCTGTGCGCGACAGCCTTCACGGCCGGGCAGCTAACGTGGTTGGCCAGGCACAGGGGCGCGCACCCCCAGCCAAAGGCGCAAACAGGCAGCTTGGCGGCCTGGCGGCGACGGGCCGAGAAATGGGGCGTGAGATGAAGAAATGGTGACGGACGGCGTGGCGTGAGCAGTGGCTCACCAGGGCTCACCAGGGCGCACCCGCGGGGATACCTGGACACTCGCGCGCAACGGCGCATGCTGATCGCGGCTCGACGGAATGCGCCTGGTCGGCGCGGCCAACGCTATCCTTCCTGGCGACGCGGTCTGGACGTCACGGTTGCGCAAGTTCGGGGCCCGCGGCTGCCAGAGGCGCAGACGGAGCGGGTGGCTATGGCAGCCGCTGCCAGCTTCTGCCAGCTTTGGCGCCTTCTGGGCACCGCAATCCGCACTGTAGCGCGCCCCCAGCCGCGGACCCATGGGAGCTTTGGACGCGGCAAGCCACTGCCCTGCACGCAGCCCAACAAGCTTCCCAAAACCGCAACGCTGCACCAGACCAGGCCCCAGGCGCTCCCAGGCGCTGACCTGAACGGCCGGCCCATAGCCCACAAGAACCATGGTTTGCCGCCCTCCGCGCCTGCCCAATCTACCACCCTCCGCCTTCCCGCACTTCCCACCCAGCATTATTGTCTCTAACGCTTCCTTCAAGCTTCCTGCGGACTCCGCTTCACCACCCGCACACAGCAGGCAGGCGCCGCTTAGCCTACACGCTCACTCTTGACTTGCCGTCGCTGGTAAGCTGGCCCCTCTTCGCCCTCTCAATAATCCTCACCCCCGCTCCCCCAATATACATCGATCCGCCCAATCTCTCCTCCGTCCGTCGTACATTGCACGTCTCTTTTGTTTCCAATGCCTCTTCGCAAGCACACTCCGAAGCGCCGGGCTCCCTACCTCGACCTCAAGCCCATGGTCTCCGAAGCTGACCTCAACGCCACCAACAGGCCTCCCCAAACCATCAAGCACCCAGCCTCAAAGGGCTCGTTTAGGCTCCACCGTCCGTCTCGTTACCTCCCCAGCTGGAGCTCCTCGCTTGAAGCAATGGATCTATCCAGGCCCAAAATGCCCGTCACAATCACCTTCTCCGTGCCGGGCACCCGCCCACCTGTCTTCGTCGCCTCATCGCTTACGAGTCCACCATGGGCTCCGATCGAGATGGACATAAAAGATGAACGCACCACGGCTGGGGATCTTGTTTTTGAGAAGACTTTCGATGCTATCGAGCCGGGTGAATACCAGTACAAGTTCAGGCTCGGGCCTGGCGATTGGTGGGTTTGTGACGAGAGTGCGCCGATAGGTAGGCTAATCCGACCCTTCACGCAACATCGACTGACGTGCATTGTAGTATGTGATGATTCGGGCAATCGCAACAACCTTCTCCGCATCACCGAGCCACGGTCGCCTGCTCTAGATAGGAGTGAGCCTTCTCCAACGCGCAGCACATCCTCTGCTCCTGAAGTCGCTACCGAAAACGCGACTTCACGCGATCAGGCGGAGGACGGTGAAGCTGGTAAGTCACGTCCTGACCCTGCACCAGCCCCTCTTCCTTTTACTGTTGTCGACAAGGCCCCCGATGCAGAGCAGCCTGTTTATGGTGGCAAGAGGTCTTCCAGTCTTGGAGAGGATGCGTCGAAACGCACAGCAGATGCAGAGCCAGATGGCGAGTTTGAACCACTTGAAACTAATTCGAGCCTTGCAAAATCAGAAACGCAAGATGCCCTCTCAGTTCCCGCGGTCGTTGTCGAGAAGGTAGATGATGCGCCTGCGCATGGAGATGATCTCGGAGCCGGTGCAACCCGAGGACAGCATGATGCTCACGCAAAGCGGGCCGCGGATGCAGAGCCTGACGAAGTAGTTGTCACGGGCGATGTCGACGAGCCAAAGGAGCTTTCCAGGCTCAGACTGGTTCCCGAGTCAGAGGGTCCTGGGGAGACCCAAGCGGTGGAAGATCAACCTTCTCCGTTGCTGCCACACGAAGAACTGGAGCCACTCTCAGATGAGGCCCCTCTACTTCCGCACGAGCGATCTACGTCTGTGTCCAATGCAGGAAGCGAAGACGACCAAGATGCGGTTGCATCAGCAGATTTTGCCCCTGTGGAATTCGACGGCGACGTCCCGCTGTTCCGCCACGAGTCGATATCTGTAGCTGACAGCCCCCCGAGGAGCCCTTCGCAGACGCGGCCGAAGTCCCACACATCGCTTCAAGATATGATGGACGAGGAGGATATCAATGATCCTTCGATCGAGCCTTTCCCGACCCGCCGCGAGACAATTTACGAGCATCTTCAAACGCTGGCGGCGCACCACCGTATGGAGGTAGATATCACTCTTCCAGAAGATGCTGAGACTTCGCCGCACCGGAAGACGTCACGGTCGTCGTCATCAGAACTCCTGCCACCTGCTTCACCGCTGGATTCCATTAAAGAGGCCGAGGAAATCGAGGAAGAAGACGCCGACAAGCTGCCATCACCGATGGCTCCGGAATCGGTAGTCGAACGGCCGATCCCTGCTGTTCCCACACCTCCGTTGACGCCGAAGGACGATGACAATACCAAGAGACATGATCGCGCCGACTCCCTCGTCACAGTCACTGGCGAGGAAAGCTCCAGAGACGGCAAGAGCCAAGCTAACGACACGAACGGCACCGAGGAGCTGGCAGCCCAGACGAACGCGGAACCTGCCGTAGCCAGCGCCGAAGTTGAGCGCCCTTCCACTTCTCATTCAGCCAAGGTCACGCCAAACCAGAAACATTCTTCATTCCTAATCAAATTCTGGAACAACTTGTTCGGTAGCTGGCTAGGACCGGTCGTCAGATGGTTCTCGCGTGTGTGTGGAGGACAAGGACGTGCTACGTAAGCATTCTGTTCGTCTTACTGCATGGTTGGACACGAGGGTTGTTTGGAGTGATTTCCAATTTGCTCGCCACCGTATCCACGCCTTACAGTCGTACAGATTGCTGACGTTGGCGTACAGGGTCCTTGTTCTCGCCATTGGCACCGCGATAATTGCTTATTCCTTCCAGTCGACCCTTCTGGGAACTGAGGTGTCAAGTGTTGCAGATCAGTAGGTCCATCAGGGCTGTGAGTACTCCTGAAAAATCACTGTGCCAAGAGGCTGCGCATCGCGGGAACTAGCGAGGCTGCGATACGGATATCGATTCTGTCAATGATAGACTGTACAATACGTTACCCTAAGGATCAGAAAGGCGTTTTGTTTTAGCGGGTCATCCTGGTATATCCATTTTCCTTGGTGTTATGTAGTACCTTCTGCTCTGCATTTCTCTCTGGGTTATGGTCTGAGACGCTTCACGCTGGCATTCACAGACAAACAAACGAGAAATGAATCCTACGACATTCTGACATGATAAATTTGAGATGACTTTCAGTCCCATCTAGACGTGCCGATGATGTCAAGTGCATGACATCCAAGAACGGCACGGCAAGGATCCAAACCTTCACATCCCCTCCTCACCTTTTACTCTCTCAATCTCATCTTTTCTAGCCACAGCTGGGGTGTGATATTGTGCGCGCGCATCTGCAATCGCCAGGTGAGAGGGATAGCATGTATCCCAAATCGTCGCTTGATGAGTGACGAGCGCTCATTTGCTGAAAGCTTAAATGAATCAGAAACGCTCCAAGTCTCAGACACCACGCGCGTTCTTGTCGCCTTGCTTTCTTTTTGTACTTGGCGTCCTACCTACGTATCTGTTTTTGCTTTTTTTTCCCCCAAACGTAGAGTAGTTCGAGACGGGGGAATAGTTCTCCGCTGCTCACAATAATGCCTTTTGCTGCCCTCCTTACGTACCCCAGCCCCGGCAGTCTAGTCACACCCACACAGCCCGTGCGAAGAACACGCACATACACCGTCAGAAGTGAAGTAGTGACAAGCCCGCCGTTCGTGTATGCCATACACCTCGTCTCGCGCTACTACTCGAAAGGGAAGTGGAGGGGCGAGGGGGGAAGGGGGGGGGGGGGGGGCGAGGGGGGGGGGGGGGGGGGGGGGGGGGGGGGGGGGGGGCTCAGCGCTGTCAACCAACGTCCCCACGTCGTCAGTATAGCTCCTTCTACTTCTACCTACTCTCCCCCTCCCCCGGCAAGAGAAACACACGGGGTACCTATGTACATACCTACATCGCACCTCTGCCCGCCTCTCCGCCTCCCCGCCCCTTCCTTCATCCTCCATGCAGGGATGCGCTGCTACCGCCCACGCTACCCGCCCACGCTACCCACCCACCCGGCGAACGTACGGACGATGGATAGCTCGCGTCACAGCACCGCCGCCCCCCCCCTCGCTAAGCGAGCGAAATACGGCGGCCGTGCTGCGAAAGGAAGACCGTGTGTGTATACTGTACTGTACAACAACTCTTTTTTTCTCTTTTTTGTTGAGTGGAGGGAGTGGTGGGTGTGGCGTGCGCTTGGGGGCCGGAAGGAGGGGCTCAGGCCCAAGCTATGAGCTGGGTAATGGTGGCGTTTTATCAGGTATGTATTATGACGGGCCTGCCCGACTATGTGTGCATACATGTACGTTGATGTGCTGGGCGCGAGGAGTGTGTAGCGTACGGATTTTTAAATTTTTTTTTTTTCAGTGAGGGCTTCTCGTTCGGCTGTTCGTCTCTCCTCTCTCGGACTTGCAGAGTGGGAGAGTCGCCGCGTCGCCGCGCACGCACGCGCGCGCTACATGACTAGTAGCACAAACCCTGGTGATGAGAGAAGCGGGGATGTTGTCGACAGGGGAGAAGGGAATCGGGTGTTCGCGCGGTAGTAATGTGGGTCTGGGACGGGCGGGCAGCGGAGTTGACGAGAACCTGACCCGGGGGGGAGGGGTGGGTGGGGAGAGAGCGGGGTTGGAGGAGCTAGGAGGGAGAAATACATAGAAACAAGCGAAGAGGATGGAAGTGTGTGTACGAATGGGGAAGAAGTTGCGCGCCGTCTCCTGACTCGGCTGGGGCGGCAGTGTCTTTGGCTTGTCTCTTTGCGTTGCTTTGCGTGATTATCGAGTGTGCGTGAGACTGAGGATGATGGACGTGTGGTGTGGTGAGAGAGTCAGATAGATGCCAGAGGGCCGAGAGAAAAAAAACTATTGAGGTCCCACTTGCTGCCCCCGCTGAAAAAATTGGCTGTTCGTTAGTTGGTCAATTGCCATCTTTCTCCACAGACAAGCCCCGCCGGGAACCGCACTTTAGTCGTGGTTTAGCTACCGATAGCTACGCTCTCCGACTTCAGCCCGAGGATTTAGGCTATTAGGTAGCCGGTACACACTGTAGAAGCACGAGTACCACTATGGAATGGCAGCATCGTTTCTTTTTCAAATCTGGATTCACTTTACACGACTACAATAATTCTTCCTTGAAAGATATGTTCAAATGGCCTCGGCTTCTTCCAGCATGCCCTTCTTCAATTCCCCACACACAAATCCCCGATGTTCCCACAAAAAAGCCACGTCTACAGGGTCCGCGACCGCATCTGCTCGCCAACCCAACACTAAATTACATTGTGAGAACTCCAGAGACTAGTCCAGTGCACTATTGTACGGTGCCCTTTGCAAAGAAAGATAACGCAGTTACCCACACGCCAACAACCAATGACACCCAAAATTCAGATTATACATTTTACCTTTTCATGCCTTCTCCCAGAGACCACCGCGACTACTCGGTATAGTTCGCTGGGAAGCTTCCCTTCATACCATTCAGCTCTCCCTCCCACCAGCTGACCTTTTTGTCGCCCTCCCTCTTCAACACTTTGATCCGATCGCCCTCTCTGAAAGACAAGTCACCCGGCCCTTGTCCCTGGAAGTCGTACATCGCCGTGACGTAGTCTTCCTTCTGGAAGCTGGCCAATCGCTTCTTCGGCGGCGGAGGCGGCGGCTTCTTCTTGGCGCCGATACCGGCGGCAATGCCCTGCAGCGGCGTGGCGACGCCGTTGGTGTGAGGCGATGCGGTGAGCATGCGACCGGGCGAGGAGCCGCCGTTGAAGTACTCGTTGCTTTGGTTCCGCGGGCTGCCCGGAGAATAGGCACCGGCGCCGATGGACGATGACGACGACGGTCGGCGGGCTCCGCCATCGTAGGGCGATAAAGTGTTTGAGGATGTGCTGCCAATGCGGGGCTTGCTTGCTGTTGGGATTTTGGGCCGGGATGCAAGGTTGATCGGGGGAGGGCCTGATGGGTCGGGCGAGGGCGGCGCGTTGGAGAAGCTGTTGCGCGGACGGGGGGGCTTGGGTGGCGCCTGCTCTTCCTCTTCTGCTGGAGAGGGGAGAGCGCCTTGGTGGGAGTGGTGAGATTGGTGGGAGCTCGATGAAGGGCGGCCGGTGATGCGCGGGCGGTTGTTGAACTTGTCCGTGGCCGTGTTGCGCAGGTTCAGGCCAGTGACGGTTCCGTGCCTAGATTCGGGCAGCTCCATAGGCTGGTGGACAAGCTTCGTGTGCATTAGAAGCTGGTAATTGGTCTCGATGTCTTTGCGCAGAGGCGTAAAGACGGCGTCCCACTCCAACACGATCTCGGCCATATCGGGGGGTGGCGATGGATAGCCGTAATCCTGGCAGAATTCATGCTGCACGGTGTAAAGGTTCCCCAATATGTTGTTTTGGATCTCGATCTGAGATGCCAGAAGGTAAGGCAGTAAGGAGAGAACGGCGGCTACGATGTTTGGAAGGTTGGCTTGCAAGTGCCTGTCAGCCGAGTCAAACTCGCCCTCGCAACGCTCCATATCGATGCGGTTCTTGGCCAGGGCAGATTCGTCGCGGGCGGAGCGATTGGCCTGGTTCTCCAGCTTCTCCACGCGGCCCTTGTATCGTTCGTAGTCCAGCTACGCAGCCTGTCAGCTACCAGAAACGCCGAAGAGTGTCTCGACTGTACCTTCTTGTCCTCCCGCTTCTGTATCACTTTGTGCATGGGCTTGATGGTCTGCTTTGCTTCTTGCGCCGGCTTGATCAAGCGGCGGTCAATCATGCTGACCTCCTCCATCATGTCGTTCTTGAGGTCATCGTAGAGCTGGTTTATGCGGCGGCTGCGCTCCAGGACCTCGTGCGGGGTTTCAGCGGGGACACGACCGTTGGGCTCCCCATCCCCAACAGCGGCCATGGGCTTGTATATGGCCTCGAACTCGGTGACGACGTGCAGTTGGTACGTAAGAATATGCGCCCATGCTTCTCTCCAGTGGCTGGTGGCGTCGACGAGCTGCGCGACCGTCGGGGTTAGCTGGTGCTGGCTAGAGAGTGGCGAGGTAGCGGGCTTGCCTTTCCGAGCATCTGATCGACCTCCTTGAATTCAGCCAGCATTGCGGCAACCTGTGCGTCATCTTCGCTGTGGGGCGTGAACACGCCCACCTTGCGCTGTATGCGCTGCATGGCTGCGACCGCAGGGCAATTGTGAAACGAGTGGGGATTTCGAAGGCGGCAGCGGCAGCGCAAGCGAGTGGAGAGGAGACAAGCGGCTGTGAAGAGAAGTGCGGCGTACGTGGAGGGAATGGAGCAGCAGGCAAAGCTGCCGCGGGGCCAGCAAGGGTCCCCTGCCGCTTCCTTCTGGGAGTTCGGCACTTTAGCGTCGCCGCGTAGTTCCCGCCTTAGCCACCGCCTTTGGGCCGCTGTCGTCACATGCTGGCGCGCTGCCTACCACACCCGACTCGACGCGTCGCGTCCACCTGCGCTTCACTCTCCTCCACGCGTCGCCCGCACTTTGTCTAGCTCACCACGCACAATGTACATACAGATCGCCGCTCAACGATGATGTCTACCGTTCGGAGTACAGTTCGGGGTACCGCTCAGTCCGCAACCGCTGCAAACACCGCCCCCGTCCACGAGTTCCGCTGTCTGTACACACACGACCTCCGCCGGAAGCAGAAACGATGGCAAGACGGCTTCCTCAAGTTCCATACATTCAACAAACGGGTCATGGTCTATGACCAGCCGCGCAACTACATCGGCGATACACACTGGAAGGGTGGCGACACCCTCGACGATGGCGATGAGCTCACGTTGGAGAATGGCGTTATCGTGCAGGTCGCTGAGCCAGTGGCCGTAACCCAGACCGACTTGACCGAGCTCCTACAAAAGAAACCGAGGGACGCGCAGCAACAGCCAGCCCCGATGAATGTGAGACTGCCTGCTCTGGGCAGCGTGAGGTTGCCCACACCAGGCGTGCGGACCGCTGGCCTGACAGCAAATGCCGCTCCACGACACAGGCCACTAAGCCAGCTACTCGGGACCCCAAAGGGGCCGCACGGAAGAGCTATCATTTCCACAAGGTCGCCGTTCGACGAGAGGCAGGACAAACTACAAAAAGCGGATGAATGGGCGGCAAATGAGAGGGCTGCGAAGAGGCGGAGGGTTGCTGAGGCGGAGCAGACACGGAGTGCTGTGAAGGGAGTAAGAACACCGGTGCCAAAAGGTCGAGAACAGCATGTGCAAGGAAGGACGCCTGAAAGGAGGGAACTGTTTTGCCAGAGCACCCCTCTTACGTCAAAGGCAGGATACAACCCCCCAGGAGAGCTGATTGATCTCATATCGGATGCCGAGGAATTGGAGCCAGGATCCGATGTGACGATGCCAAACACTCCGCCCGGTATTGTGAGGCCTGTAGTGCGCTCTAGGGGGAAAAAGGTGGTTACGCCGCAAGTTCCCACTACCACTCTACCAACATCTTCACCTCCGGTCAATACGACGAGCAGATTGGTTCGCATTCAGGAAGATTTCGAACTCATGGAAGAGACCATTGCGGGAACTGGAGAGCAGCCAGGGGAGGAAGAACCCCCAAAACGCTCGAAAAAACTGCGTCTGGCTTCAGGCCCCCGGCCGAAGATGCTGCTCTGTCAGGATGCGGAGCCAAATAGGAGGCCTACTGCACAAGAGCGGCGACCTCAAAACGGGGCGGCACAAAAACCTCAAAGAAACAAATTCGTTACTAATGAACAGAACCAGCAAAGTCTTGGAAGGCCACAACATCCCTCAGATATTCGCAAATTGCAGAACGGTCTCACTCAGTCTTCGCCTCCAGAGCCCGAAAGATGCGTTCCGCCATTGGATGGCAATACTGAAGTCCAAAACCAAGATGCACCTATTCCAGCGGAATTGAATAACACCCTCGCTCCGCAGGGCATAGTCAAACAAGACAAAGGCCCAACTCAGCCATTTACAAAGCGCCTGCCAGCCACCGGGTCGACATCGAATCGACATAAACCAGACCTCAGGATCCAAGCCATACAGGCTCAAGAAGGTCAGAATCCTCTCGCACAATCCAGACGAGCGCTCTCGGAGAACGATAAGACAAAGAGGCCTTCAGCCGCATCAGAATCTTTCGATGAATCCAGACAGCCGGGCCAAGAGAAGTTGAAAGAACGTCTTGCACCTCAGAGACCGTTGCAGCGCTCCATCAGCCTGAACGTGGCAGTGAATCGCGGGCTTGACCGAGAAATGACCCCGCCTTCGCCCGTTGCAGACACGGATGTTGGGCCTTGGAGCACCGAGGCATTGGATTTGTTTGATTGGAGGCCGCCCGGGTACGTGTTCCGCGGGCAAGGGAAAGGATTCGGGCCGGCCGAGAACGAAACTGTTGACAATGCGATTGCTTCTTAATCAGTCATTGTTTCTTTTATTCTTGGAGCATGTGGGGATGAGCAGCGAAGTTTTGGCGATCATTTAGGAAGCTAATAGATGACATGAAGCATGAAAAACCATTAATTAAACCGTAGGGGTTCACGAAGAAGGTTATTGGCGCAGAGCCAGCCGTCGTTTTCGGTATTGATCCGATCGTTGACAGCGTGTGCTATTCAGGAGGCCGAAGGGACTGTTGCCGGCCACGTACGGCCACTTAAAAACTCTGGCCGACTCCGTCGACGGATGGCATGAAGTAATGTTCTGGGGCCACAAGAGCGAGGCTGAAAGCGGTATCTGCCATGCTGAAACCTCGACTCAACGTGAAGACTCCGCTAATGCCGAAAAGGGGATTCATCGAGCCGTTTCACCATCAGCGAGAACGATCGGGTCTGCTCCCAATCTGCTTTGCTCTCATGTCAAATTATCATTCCTGGGCAGTCAGCGTGTGGCCAAGATACCCGACATAAACGATCATTTCATGGACGACACTTCTCAAACGCACAGCCACTGTAGGTGTAAATTCCGTAATCTCATAAGGAGCTAGCAAATCTCATCGCAAACCATCATTCTGGCGAACCGCGACGTCTTCGCTCAAATCTCCTAGTCAAGTCCAGCATCGCTTCAGCCTTTGTCGGATAGTAGGCACCGGGCAATCGGCTATGTAAATCCGAATGATGCACACCAACGCACCATTAAACCTTTCGACCGCTGAGATGAGAAGAAGAAGAATAAGAAAAAGAAGAGAAAGAAGAGAGAGATAGATAGAAAAGAAAAATGGCAAGACCAAGCAATCCCACCACCATGCCAAGGAGAAAGAGAGCTGAGAGATCTGATCCTCGCACAGCACCACACCACACCCTCTCCAAAATCTCTCATATAAATGCCACCCCCTCCTCCCCATTCTCCACTCCACTCCCACTCCCCTCCACTCACGCATTCCTCGGCCCCCCCACCCCCACCTCCTCAACCCAAGACCTCACCTCCACCACCTTCCCCCTCTCGCCCCCATCCCCCTCCCCCTCGCATCGACGATAATCCTCCTCCACCTCCACACTGCACTCAAACACGCCTCCTTCCCCTCCACCTCCACCACCCCCTTCCCCTCCCTCTTCCCCTCCCTCTTCCCCTTCCCCCTCCTCCTCCTCCCCCCCTTCTTCCCCCCCTTCCTCCCCCTGATCCGCCAACGCAGCCAACGCCTCAACCCTCTCCTCCAACTCCTTCCGCATCCGTTCGCGCGCCTCGACGGCGTCGATCCGCCTGTTGGTGCGCGGGCAGACGGCGTCGAGCAGGGCGGCGGCGGCTTCGCGGTTGGCGGCGTCGGGGACGGTGAAGAAGCCGAGGATGCGGGGGCGGCGGGTGGTGGTTGTGGTGGTGGTTGTGGTGTGTTCGGTGGCGAGGGAGGGGGAGGGGGTGTGGGTGTGGGTGTGGGTGTGGGTGTGGTGGTTGTTTTGGGTGTGAGGGTCTGGGTCTGGGGTCGGGGTCTGTTGTTGTTGTTGTTGGTTGGGAGGTTGAGGTTGGAGTGGTGCTGGTGCTGGTGCTGGTGCTGGTGGAGCTGGAGACTCGGCTTGGTGGTGGTGGTGAGTTTGGATAGATGGTTCGACGACGACGACTGGGTCTTCGGGGTCGGCGAAGAGGTCGTCGATGTTCTTGAAGAGGTCGTCGAAGGTGGTGTCGTCGTCGTCGTGGCTGGGGAAGGTGGCAGCAGCAACAGCAGCAGCAGCAGCAGCGGCATCGGCATCGGCATCGGCATTGCCATCATCGTCACGATTGCTGCCGCTGGTACCATCACCGTCGTCGTCACCGTCGTCGTCGTCGTCCCCGCCGCCATCACCGCCCCCCTCATCGCCGCTGCCACCGCCATCCCCCCCTGCATCCCGACGGCGCCGACAACAGCACCCAGCCGGCCTCTCCACCCTCCACACCTCCTCCACACACGCCACCCACCCCCTCGTCCCCAACCACCCCTGTCTCCCCACCCTCGGCCTCGTCGCCGCCGCCGCCGCCGCCGCCGCCCCGGGCGCTCTCAACGACCTCCCCACATCGACCCGCACCGTCGCCCTCCCCGCAGCGTCGTCGTGCTCCACGCGGTAATGATGCATGCCCTCCGCGTCCGTCTCGCACGAGAAGCTCTTGCAGCCCGCGCTCACGCCCTCGACGCCGAAGCGGGCGCGCTGGATCTCCTCGCCCGCCGCGGCGTTGGCTTCGCGGAGCGTGTGGAGCGCCTGCGCCGGCCCCGGCCCGCCGACGGCGTAGACGGGCGCGGCGGATTGGTCCTCGCGGGAGGGGTCCCAGCATTGGCGCGTGACGTGGTATTCGAACCAGACTTCGTTTTCGGCGAGGGGGGCGGGGGAGGGGATTGTTGTTGTGCTGGTGGGAGGAGGATTGCGGGTCGGTTTGGGGAGAGCGGCGCGTTGGTGGCGCCGGCTAGCTGTAGTGTGGAGCGCGTCGTCGTTGTCGTTGATTTCGTCGGCGTCTGAGGATGATTCCTCCTCGCCGTCGGTCAGGAAGTCGGCCAGGGCCTGCTGGTTGGCCATGTATTGCTCGTACGCGTTTGGGTCCCACTTCTTGCCGCCCAATGGCGGTGGTTGTTCCTGCTGCTGCTGGAGCTCCTCCTGTTTTTCCTTTTCCGCATCCTTCTTCCCCTCGTCCGCTCTGTCCTTGGTGAGATCTGGCCAGCGGTTGTGGACGCGCTTAAGCCGGTACTGGAGCCCCGCGACCGAAAACTTCTTGCCGGTTCGAGCGGCGTACAGGATGCGGATCTCTTCCCACTTGAGACCCTTTTCCTTCCAGAAGTGGAGCTGCTTGTCGTCTTCTTCCTCGAGTACTGATAAGGGCGTAGACGGCGTCTTGTCAGCGACGAGAGGACCGAAATTCACGGAATCTGGATCGTTAAGAGCCGTTGCCGGCCTCCGAGGAACGTTGGCTGTCTGGCTACTCATCTTCTTAGAGGCCTTTGCAGGTAAAAGATCGCTCTCGCGAGGCAAGAAGTTCGACGTTGGCTTCCGTTGGGCCTGGGAGGCGCTCTGATTCTTGGATTTTGGGGTGGGAATGAATGCACTGCTTTTTGCCCCCGAAGCGCCCTTCGGCTTACTGGACGGTACTGGCTGAATGTGCTTCTTGAGCGGGCCATTTGCAAGTGCTTGCTCTCTCCTTAAAGCGTTTCGCTGGGCAGCCTCGCGTGCACTGCCGCTCGTAGGCTTCCTCGTATCGTCGTTGCGCTCCTTTGCAGGCTCCTTCGTCGCATTTGCGAGCATGGACTGTAAGCTCGCGGGACCTCCGAAACTAGGTTGATTAATACCCTCGTTCGCGGGCTTTTGCAGGTTTTCGTCAACGGGATCTTGAGATGTTAGATCCCTTGAGGCTGTTGTGGTACTTTTACCTGCTTCAACATGGCTCTCCTTATCGTCATTCTCCTGGCCAGTGACGGGCTGCCCGGCACCTTCATCAGACGGCTCGTTAAAAAGGCACTCAAAGTCGTCGCCCAGTTCGCCGTTGACTTCGACGGCTGCTTGTCCTCCGTCGCCGTCAGCATCTTCAAGGAGATCGTTCGCCGCGTCAAGCCCCTGCTCAACTCCCCCAAGAACCTCGTCCATCACTTCATCCTCATCCTCTTCCTCCTCCACAAATTCCTCACTCTTCGATTTCTTCTTCTTCTTCCCCTCCCTCCCCTTCTCCGCCACACTCTTCCCCTTCTTCTTCTTCATCACCTTCTTCTCCTTCCTCCCAGCCTTCGTCCCCGCCTCACCACCACCATCCGCCCCCATCTCCTTCTCCCTCTCCTGCCGCAACCTAGCCTCATGATACGCGATCCTCTTCCTCCGCAACTCCTTTTCCTTCTTCCCCCTCTCCCGCTCCCTCTCCTCCTCAATCGCCGCCATCACGTCTTCCCGCTCGACTTCGCTGCTGCTGCCGCTGCCGCCGGACGACGACGACGACAACGCCGATCTCGCATCATCACCGTCATCATCGCCCTCACCATCCCCACCCTCCCTGTCCCCCCGCCGCCGCTGTTCCCCAGACCCAACCCCAAGCTGCGAACCATCAACAGCAGCAGCCCCGTTTTCCTGCCGACGTCGTTGTCGTCGTCGCGCTGGGTCAGTGTCGGCGTCTAGAGCGGCCAGGGCTTGCTGCCATGCGGCTTTTTCTTCTTTGGCGTCGTCGGTTTCTGTGGAGGGTCTCGTTTTCTTCTTCTGACTGTTGTTGTTGTTGGTGGTGGTGGAGGTGGAGGTGGCGGCGGCGGCGGCGGAGGGGGGATCCTTCTTTTTCGCTTTACCTTGTTGCTTGAGCAGTTTTTTGATCATGGCCGCGTTGCTTGTTCGTTCGCGACGGGCGGTGGGCATGAGCGTGGGCGTGGGCGCCGCGGATGACGATGACGGTGGTGGTGGTGGTGCTGCTGCTGCCGTTGCTGGAGGGGGAAGACGAAAAGAAGAAGAAGGAGGAGGAGAAGGAGAAGGAGAAGAAAGAAAAGACATAGCGGACCCAGTCGCCGTATTGCCGCCCTCCGCTTCTCCATGCTTCTTGCCAGTCAGACGCCGCGGACCAACACCATCACCCCCATCTCCCTCCCCGTCGCTATCATCATCATCATCATCACTGCTCGACTCCTCCGCGCTGGAGATATCCACAACCCCTCCACCCCCCTTCTCCTCCCCCACCGCCGGCAGCCCCGCCCTGAGCGGCGGCAGCTTCAACAGCCTCGGCACCGGCGCAATCCTCATCTTCGGCATCGGCACCGGCTTCAGCTTCGGCGTCCGGAAAGGCGAAGACGACGCCGACACCGGTTTGGCACCATACCCCTCCTCCGCTGTTATCAAAGGCGCGGCGGCGGCGGCGGCGGCGGTCGTCGTCTCCACGTCACTGTCGGTGATCTGCGAGCTGCTCATGTGTTTAGCTCGCGCCTGCTCGCGGAGCGCCTGGCTGAGGGAGATGCCGGACGCGACGTACGGGCGCCCCTGGGCTGCAGGATGATCAGCGGGCGCCGTTGCAGATGCAGGGTAGCTGTTCTGCTGCTGCTCGTCATCGTCATCATCCCGCGACGACGGTTTGATCTTCGGGATTATTGCACCGCTGGCTGCATTCTGGGCTGGGTGGTCGCGAGCTGCTGGACCGGCGTCGGAATAGTTGGCGGCGGTTTGTCTAAGCTTCTTCTTCTTCGCCGTCTCATGCTTCTTCTGCTTCGCTGCCATCGAGGCGACGTCGTCGTCGTCGTCCTTCTCGTCGTCGGGCAACGGCCGCGCGTCTTCTTCCGAGTCTTCGTCCATGAAGGGTTGCGTGGCTGGACGGTGGCTGTAGCCGAGCTCGTTGCCGGAAGAGGGGGCTTTTCTGTTCTGGCGCTGCTCGGGACGGTCCTGGCGGTGGCTAGTGGCGGGAGGAAGGTAGGTTGGGCGGGGGATCGGTTCGTCATATTCGTCTTGCTGACGGCGCTGACGCTTCACTGGTATCGTCGGCGGCCGAGAGGGATAATAGATCTCTGGACTGCGCTGGCGTTTTGTCGTCAAGCCTTCGTCGTCCGTGCGATACGTCTGTACTGCAAGATTGAGATCGTTCTTGGGACGCTTTCGACTTCTTGGCCGGTCTCTGTCGTGCCTAGGTTGGTACTCTGCATCAGTAGCGTATCCAAGCCCGTTGGTTTGGCGCTGGATGTGGTTGTGCTGACGGCCACTCTTCGCTGAAAGGCGACTGCCCGTGGAAGTGCGATTGTACGCCTCTCTTTGGTCGTCGTCGCTGCATAAGTCGATGACCTCAGGCTGCGAAAGTTGCTGACGGTTGAGCGGCCGTTTTCCCTGGGATGCTGCGGATAAAGCCTGGCTGCAGAAATCCTCAAATGTTGTGTAATTGCGAGCAGCCTCCTTCTGGCTCGATCTTCCGAGTTGCCCCACGTGGCGCCCGCGCTCTCGAGGCCTACGCTCCGGTGATGATCGATAACCGTTTCTCGATGGATAGTTTGGGTCTTGTAAGTAGTTTCCTCGAGCAAAGGCATGGTTGGTTGGCATGTGTTTAGCATGTCCCCTGGTGTAGTAAGGACCGCCATTCGACATGTGTTGTCTCTCATAACCGTTCCGCTGGGAAGACGGCGGAGGAACGTGTTCGGGTTCGGTGAAGTACAGGCTGCTATCCACCACACCATCCCTCATGTTGTCTTCCATACCATCTTCCATGCTGTCTTCCGTATCGTCTTCCATGTCATCCTGTGCGTACGGTTGCCCCGAGGGTGGGAATTCCGCGATGTTGGACGGTGAGTCCGGCTCAGGTGAGAGGCCCTCGAAGCGCACGTTGCGCCGCGATGACGACTCCCCCATGGTCGGACGCTCTCTCGAGTGCCAGGAAGGGTGAACGTTACGTGGACGTCTTTGCGAGTGTCCAGCCTGCATGGGGCGGGGTGCTACTCGAATGAGCCGGCGGTGATCGGTGAATCTTGGCTGTACTTCATGGTGAGTTCGGAATCCAGAGTGGCTTTTGTGGTTGCTTCCCTTGCTGATACGTACTTGCTGGACATCGATTTCCTCGACAGGTCTCTTCCGACGCTGCGATCCGGAATAGATTGTGTGCCTCGAAGGGTGAGGCTGAACCGGGTAGTTAGAAGCCATGGCCAATTTGGAAGGTAGATCTTATGTTCAGGCTGTGGAAATCCAAGGGTCCAATGGCGCACGTGAGGTTGAAGATCTTGATGGTAACATGCGGGTTCAGCTCAAGTCCAAGTGAACGTGACCTTGCGAAACCCACGGTGATTGGGGTCCAGTTCAGTGGCAAGACAGATCTTGCAGATGACCAAGCCGCAACCGTTGAAGCTCAGGGAGAACTCGTCAGTACAACGGTCCTGGGACAGGCATAACAAAAGTGCTTGGATGCAGTGTCGCGGACACTTCTGACACCGCGAGAATGTTGAGAGATGGCAAAAGCAGTCGGTCTCACAGAGACCTCTCGGCTTTTTCGTTGAGGAAACGGTTCCAGTCTCGGTCTGGAAATTGTCAATATCGTCTGTTAGCATGCTCACGGCTCGTGACGTTCCGATTGTCTAGCATGACGGAGCGGGGAGATGGATTACAGAGGATCATTTGACGCTGTTGGGGCCTTACCGGTATGGAGGAGCCTTAATAGGGCTCTATTGCGCAGAGCTTGCTCCCACAGAGGGCGACAAGGTTGAAGTGCTCCAGTGGCGCCGGCGACCGGACTCGCGGATTTAGCACTGAGGTTTGAGGTATGGCGCGGCAGCTAAGTCCTGGGTGGGAGAGGGAAAGCCTGAGATCTAAGACGCTACAACTAAGTGGTCTGTCTGAAGTTTCGGGATGAGTGAGAGTAGTGGTTGAGTGCGGATGACGGTATGCAGGGACAATACGACAATAGCACGTCATGTGCGCTGCCGTCACGAGCCTCCACGAGAGCTCAACCGCCGAAGTGGCCGGGACTGAGCGCGTGATCTGAGGGAAGCCGCAAACCAGTACGAATGTATCATTAGATTGAGCATTGGAAAGTTTCGAGGGGAGCGGATCGGGAGCGGAGTTGCAATGACCAGAAAGCGGATTGTATACTGTAGACAGGCATATCGGTACAGCTTCGTCAGTCCTTCCACCGTCCCTTCCGGGCGACCTCTGGCGCGGACGGACACTCCTGAGCCATGTTGCCAGTCTGAGAAATGTCTGGCGTGACTGGGAAGCAAATCGGGATTGAGTAGCATACTCACCTGCCATGTAGCCCTCCTCCACCCCGAATCGTCGCCATAAAACCCGCCTTCGCACATGCAGGCAACTTTTCCCAGCACTGAAAGCTACTAGCAAGGTCCAAATCGATTTGACTGAAGAGATGCACTGTTCCTGTTCCTCTCTGTTTTAAAGAACGCCAAGTACATCCCTTGGCTACCCACTCACCTGTACCTCTATACCGCCGTCGATGCTTCATCCTACTCATCACCGTGCACAGATGCTGGGCAGCAGCAATAGCCATGATTGATGCTGAAGCTATCGTGACTGATGATGTGGACGCACTACGGCGTATTCGAGACTGGAGGGCCCACGGGCAGCGGAACTCTTGGGCGTAGGACGGACTACTACGACAGTGCAGCAGTATTCCTGCCGTGCGCTTCAGCAAGTGAGTAAGTTGATGATGCGGCGAGATTTCGCATGGTGAGTGTGTGGATCATGGAGGCTTCAAGATGAAAAAGTGTCATTTCTCGCAGCTGTGGATATGGCAAGCGCGCGAGATTAGTCACCATGCAAACAACGCAATCCCGGCAAACAAGTCTCAGGTCCGATTGACTGTCAGCCACTCAGATCAATAACGTTTTTTAGTTGTCTGGACACTGGGAGCCGTTGCGAAAGTCTTCATTATAAACTGTCAAGCAGCCATAATACCTATTCCACACATCACCAGGACACCGCCGTCGAAACCAGATAAGAACGCCTACCCGCTCACATCATCACGGCCAAAAAGAAGAGAAAACAGTAAACCCAAGCCCCACAACAACAAGACAGTATCGCATCTCACTATCCACAACACCACCGCTCTACCCCCGGTCCTTCATCTTCCGTCTGCCCAATCCGTCCCCGCCACATCTGTCCTCTAATGCCCACCAGTCGTCGGCAGGCCCAAGTACACCTTGAAGCTATCGTAGATGAGCCATTGGAACGCAGTCAGCGTACCGATCATGACGATGCGGACGGGCAGGCCGTTCCAGAGGCCGGTGAAGCCGATGTTGCCGTAGATGCGCGCCATAGCCGCGCCGGCGCCCTCGCCGGCCTTGCGGTCGCTGTTGAGCTTCGAGACCATGACGTCTGAGGAGAAGAGAGAAATCCCATGGTTAGCCATAGCTGGAGGGTTAGGGAGGGGGCCGGGAGAAATGGGAAAAACGTTACCTGCAGGATGCGAGACGACGGCGCAGCCGATGCCCGCAATGTAACCGCCCAGGAAGCTCACGCCCGTCTGCTGCAAGCTGTTGTACGCCTCCTTTGGCTTGCCGAGCTGCTTGTAGATCTGCTCGACCGCCTTCTCGAACGAGGCGAACTTGACCATCTGCAATCAATCGCAAACGTCAGCACGCAATCGCTCCCTCCAACAAACACAAACGACGACCAAGGACGGGGGAAAAAAAAAAGAAAACCGTCCCCAAAACTCACCGTATACGGAATCTGCCTCCCCCAAAGCGGCACCAACCCCTTATACAACCCGCTCACGCCCTCCTTCCCCACCACCTTCCCCAACCCCTCCCGCAACCCGCTCGCAAACGGCGGCAACGTCGTCTGCATCCGCACCTTGACCGCCTCCCACGGACACAACGCCACATCCGCCAAAAACTCCGCACTCGCGCTCGCCGCGAGGTACACGACCGTCTTGTTGGCGGCGGGGAACCAGCGCTCGCCGTACGCGTACTTGAACGCCTCGTAGAAGCCGTACTTGCCCGCGCCCTGGAAGCTGTACCCCACGAACGTCGGGGCCCACCCGAAGAAGACGCCGCGGAGCCCCTCTTTGGCGAAGATGCTGCGCCAGGCGGAGGCGTTGGACGTGTAGATCCTCGGGTCGACTTGGCGGCGGCATTTGACGAGGTCGAGCGGCGTGACGGCTGTGTGGGTGGGGCCGCATGCTGGAGGGGGAGGGGTGAGTCGTTAGTGGTGGTTTTTTTTTTCTTTTTCGGTGGACAACTTTTTGTTTGTTTTGTTCATCTCGTGCTGTACGTGGGGGAGTGAATGTAGAGAGAGGAATTCAGAAGAGGGCGTGGGGCTGATTCGATGCGCGCGCACGCCGCCGCTGCCAGCATTGGGATTGCTTGCTTGCTTGCTCGACAGCCCGAAAAGGAAGAAGGAATAAGAAAGCCTGCCCCCCCACCCCAATTGGGAGTCCTGGGGCTTGATTGCCGCGTGCGCGCAAGGCGCTCAATGGCGGAACCGGGGGCGCACGCGTGCTTGGTAAGGCGGGCGCGGGTCGTCTTTGTCAGACGGACGCGCCGGCGCGCGCCGGGCAAGAAGGTGGTGACAGATACAGGGAAGGGAGGGGTTGCTTTGCTTACCGATGACGCCGCCCAGCGTGCAGGCGGCGAAGTAAGTGCCGGAGAAGAGCTCGATTTTCTTCTGCGCCGCGGCGCCGGTGTCGAGCTTCGGTGTCATGTTGTTGTTGTTGTTGTTATTTGGAGCGGAGTGGTTGTACGTAGTGAGTCTCGACTGCGGATGGAGAGCAGTTGTAGCAGCAGTTGTAGCAGCAGTAGTCCAGCGGCCGAAGCAAGGGCAAGCAAGCAGGCAAGTAGCTTAAAAAGCTGCAACTCGGAGCACAGGAAGTTGCAAGAACGGAAAAGGGCAACAGCGAGAAAAAAGACGTCGTCGAGGTAATATCCAGCAAAGCAAGAAGGAGCAGCGACAGCAACAGCAGCAGCAGCAGCAGCAGCAGAAGCGTCAGTCTTTATCAAGGGTGTATCGCGCAGCTAATAAGTAGGGTTGCGCTGTGTTGATGAGGTGCAGCCCAGTTCCGTCGATTCCGCGCGGGCAGGGCAGCTGGCAAAACAACACACGATGACGTCGGCGTGAAAATGGCTAGCTCATCAGACCTATGCCCGAAACCCGGGATGGGAACGCGGTTACGCGGTACCTTGATGATGTGCGAGCATCCACACAAATCCCAGACTAGTACTGCACCCGCGCCCACGCCTCCTCCCCCGGCGGGCGGCTCGGTTGCCTACCTGCCTAGGTTCGGCCGGCTCGGTCGCGGTCGCGGTCGCGGTCGCGCCGCCTTTTACTCGGCTCCGGCCTTTTCCCTTTTATCGTATCGTGGGGGGGCGCTGACGAAAGCGCGCATCGCTGCGTATGTAACCACCCCCCATACCCATTATTCTCTCCCGGAGGCGTTGCCGCCCGCTGCATCCGCTGCCGCCGCCTTCCGTAGCACGGCGGCTATCACGGCCCCCGCAGGGCTCTGACGTTCTCTAAACCTAGGTACACAGCAGATCACTCACGTCCGAAGCTCCTTTGGGCTTTTTTCTTTCTTTTCTTTCCTTGCCATTTCTTAAAGCTGCACTAGGTATCGCGTATGGTAGCGCGCTCAAAAGCTAGCAATCATGCCATTATATTCTACAACGCTACAGGAAACAAAAAAGGGGGAAACCAACGCATCTCAACAAGTGGAGTCAACGAAGACTGGTAAGAAGAAGGTTCGTACGAAGCAGCGGTGGCGGCGGTTAAATAAAATAGACATTGATTTTCTGGTACTTGTTGGGGGACGATCGACGCCGTGAAGAGGAAAACAGCGGTGGAAACAGGGGAGGGGCCGGACAAGAGAAGAGAATCTGGCTGATTGGAAAGAACAACAACAATCCAATCCAGCGACTCGAACGTAAACAAAAAACCACCAATCTACATACTGACTGACACAAAGGTCAGAGTACGATGGACGAAGACACCAGTCATCAACTGCTCGAACTGTCTGTCCCGGGTGGGGAATACGAGAGAAATGAGAGAGCAAGACGACGGTATAAAAAGATAAGATAAATGATTGATGATCAGAGACGAACAATCAACAACTCCAAACATGCCCATCCGCCGCCGCCTCATCATCATTCTCATCTCGCCAAAAAGGATGAGTGATCGATTGACTTCGCTCGCAGAAAATCGAAACGAAAAAAAAGAAGAATGGAGAATAAAGACTAAGTAGTTCGTTCCGTGCCCCGATAATGCCCGTAGTCGTGAAGCGGTAAAAAAAAAAAGATTTCTGCGGACGTCGAAGAAGTAGAAAAGATGAGACCCAGTAGTTCCCCTCCAAAAGGTTTGCAACAGCGCCAGGAATGCCAGGGATGAGAGAACCGCCCGTACTCCTCGATGAAACTGAAAGAAATACCCGTTGTGCCTGGCCCCGAGTATGTGGTTTAAACAATCGCAGCTACTTTTGGGTGGTCGATGGGCGCTGAATTCACGATGCTGTTGTTGCTGGAATTATTCATGACGGCTCGGCGTCCGCCATCGGGACGTCTGACGGCTCTGCTGCCATGATTGCCGGCGTCGATTGCCGGTATTCTGGTGCGCTGAGCGGGCTGCTGGATCTAACATCACCCACCGCCGCTTCGTCGTCCGGAGGTGAGAAGTCCCAGACCTACAAACTTCAGTCAGCTTCACGCTTCACCTGCGCCCATCTGCAGCAGAAATACTCACTTCCATCACCGTCTTGCCGCCTCTACTAGCCATAATCACTGCCTTCTCCTCCTCAAACACGACCCTCCACACCGCCTCCGCTGGCTGGCTGAGCTCGCGCACGAGTGTGCCCTTTCTCAAATCCCACACCTTGACGCGCCCATCGCTGCCGCCAGAGACGATGCGAGTGTCGTCGAACTGGAGGCTCGTTACGCTGTTGTCGTGTGCCGCAAGGCGGTGGATGGGCTGATATTCGTTCAGGGACCAGACGCGCACGGATCCGTCGGAGCCACCGGTCACCAAAACGTCGCCCCGCATCTGCAGCTGACCAACAAGGGATGTGTGGCCTTGCAAAAGACCGAGACACCGGCTGCAACCCTATGTCAGTTCCAAGTCATGGTGGGGCTGTAGGGCTAGACATACCCGTCGGTGGGATCCCATATCCTGACGCTGGTGTCAAGACTGCCAGTCGCTATTCTCTTGCCATCGAATGCGATGGCGTAGATCTGGCTGAAATGGCCCGTAAGCGTCCTCAAACACCTGCCCTCAGAAATGCTCCAAATGCGGGCCGTCGTGTCGTAGCTTCCCGACACCACCAGGTCGCCGTGGATTTCCAAGCAGCGCACGCTGGCCTGGTGGCCGATGAGGACATGCTTGCAGATGCCTCTCTCGATGTCCCAAATGCGAAGCGTGGTGTCCCTGGACCCGGAGATGGCAGTCTTGTCGTCCGACATCTTCAAGCACCTCACGGTGGACGTGTGTCCGCGCAGGGTGTGGACCGCGGCACTAGTCAAAAATTAGTCCATGTCCCCAACCAAGGTTCCCCCACACTTCGAGACTGCGACGAGGCCCGGAACTTACCCTGTAGCCATATTCCAGACCCTTACGTCGCGATCACAGCCACCGCTGACAAGCAAGTCGCCCCACGGTACCATCGCCCACACACCCATCACGTGGCCCTGCAGCGTCTTCTGGTGCTGGCCCTGCGTGTCGAAAACGTGAATCTTCGCATTGTCGAGCGCGACGACGATGTTCTTGTCGGTGAGGTGTAGGCTCGTGACGACGCCCTGATCGGGCGTGATCTGCCGCGAATCGCACCGACCACCCGACCTCCACGCCGTCTCGACCATGTATCGTTGCTTGAAGTGCGACCGATATGTCATGGCCTTGTTCTTGCGCTTGGCTGATCTGGGAGTAGATGCTCCTGCGCGATCCAGTGACTGTGTCCGAAGGTCTGCTCCTACCAGGCCGGTGATCACGCCCTTGGATGGTCGGAGGGTATGTCTCCACGCCTGCGACTGCTGTGGGGAACCGCCCGGCGTCAACGAAGCGGACGAGGCTGAAGGCCTAAAGGTCGGATCGTGGACTTCCGAGAGTCTTCGGTATGCGTGTTTCTCGCAGAGGGACTTCCAGGCCATGTCATCATTCACGAGGTCGTACCATTGTCGCGACACCTGCGACGAGCGAGCGAGCGTGGTGGGGTCGTCGACGAAGGTCAAGATCTATATGGTGGTGGGGCGTGGGTCAGCATTAGGCATCCTCCATATGACGCGCGCTTGGCGCGGGATCAGACCTACCCGTAGACACAGCTCATTGGGCAGCACTTGGAACGGATCCTTCTTCAACCTGGGGCTCACGAAGTCGTGCACGAAGCTCAGCTGGTGGCTGTTGCACATGTTCAGCAGCTCGCCGAGCAGGCGCTGCTTCTCCGCGTCGTTCATCTCGCTGAACAGCGCCCGGATGTCCCTGACCTGGGTGTCCTCGTGCTCGGCGGCGGTGCTCCAGTCGGGGGCACGCTGGTGCGGCGTCGGGCTCGGGGCGGGCGTCGGCGGCGACGCTGGCGCCGAGGGCAGCAGGTTATGGGGGATTGTCGCCGACATGGGGCTGGTGGGGGTGTGTATGGGCCGGGGTTGCGAGCGCGACATCAGGCCTCGTTTGCGGGTGCGCGAGGTAGGGGATGTGTATAGGGTGCCGCCCTGGGAGCTTCGGCGCTGCGAAAGATGCGACTCGGCGTCGGCGGCCAGCTGCATTTCTGCGTCGGAGGCGCCGTCGTCGACCACGGGCCGGAAGTCGTCCTCCATGACCACGGGGCGGAACGGGCGCGAAGGGAGGCGCTTCGAGGCGACGGATGGGGTGTGCGGAACGATGCTGGACTTCTCTCTGCGCAACAAGGCGGAGGGGGGCGCGCGGACGGGCGAGCAGAGGTGGAGCGGGAGCGGGATCGACCGGGCGGGTAGCAGGGACGAGAGCGGGCAGAAGAGGGTGGTTGTGGTGGACGAGGCCGAGAGCCCTTGACGGCTTTAGCGCGTTTGAGGTGCGATTCTGAGATGGCCAGGAGGGGGCGCTCGGGCACCAGGCGCCACGGCTGAGGGCTGTGCGGTGCAGGCGCGTAGGAGGGGCGATTAGCGGCGGGCTCTGAAGGGCGGTTTGGCCGCTGTGGGTGGTGTTGTCGAGGACGCAGCTCTGGTGCGGCGGGAGGAGGAGTAGCACGGCGGCAGCGGAGGGCGGTCGTCTGTCCAGGGCCTGAGTCTCGCCCGTAATTGGGGTCGATCATCGCGCGACCTGTGCTAGCAGGCCTGCCCACGTCCGCTTTATTAACTCGGCGTCACCGCCATCTCAAAGTCCTGCTGCTGCTGCTGCTGCTGCTGCTGCTGCTGTCCCGACGCGAGCATTGCCATGCGCCCGCCAGGCGAGCCCGAGCCAGACGGTGCCTGCCGGTCACGATGCTGGCGGCCGTCTCGTGCGTGACAGCTGCTGCCAGCCCCTCGCCGGCCCCGGCATTCGCTCCTGCAGAGTCTGGCTCGCCGTGCCGCTAGTCCTTGACGTCCTGGCTGCGCACATGGCCGTCCGCTCCGCGCGGCGGTGAGAGCCAGGGCACCAGTCTCGTCCACGGGGTGCGACCAAACCTGACGCCCTGCACGAGCTGCATTCCTCCACCATCTCGCGCCTCGCCACAGAGCCCGTCTGCATTCGACGCGTCCCGCAGCTCTTGCGCACCGACGAACGGCACGCCTGACCGCCTGCCAGGCTGGGGGGAAATAATTTCACCCACCCGAAGTGGGCAGTTGGCAGTTCTGCCCACACAAGCCGTCGCCAACCTAAAATCAACGCCAGAGTCGTCATCGCCCGTCATGCGGGGACCCGGGCGCCATGATTTCTCTGCCGCCATGACCTCGCCCGTATGATTGCGCCAACTCAGAGCTTGGACCCAGAATCGGCGCCGAACTTGGCCTGGTCGAAAACCAACGACTCGACTCGAGGGGCTGATGACACAGCAGCAAACATGTGAATTTTGAGGCGAAAGGCGAAGAGAGGACGCACGAGTCAAAGCGCCGATTCGATGCGGGGTAGCTCGCAAGAAAAGGCCTGTTCATCGAAAAAGCGGGCAATATATATATACTGAGAACTATAACCTGCGAGCCGTACGGGCCAATCCCGGTGTGTCACGGTTCTGCATCTCATATCATCTCGAGCTCCGCAGTCGTCTCCACTTAGCACGTCCACACCTCCGGACCGGGAACACTTTGCGTAAGTCAGCGTCATACCCTTTAAGATGCACACAGGCAGTCATTATTCACTTACGTGTAGTTGCTGAAGTTGTTGTAGATGTTGACAGTGTAGCCGGGATCCGTCTCCTTGAATGCGCCGGGGATGGAGACGGTCGGGCTGGGCGAGCCGCTTCCTGAGCCCGTCACCTTCACCTGAGCGCACGAGATGTAGAACTGGGGGATTCCGGACGGCCAGGGGTTGTGGATCGCGAGCTGCTGGATGCGCAGAAGATACTCGCCGGCAGGCAGGCAGTTGGGGATGGTCACGTTGTACGTCGTCTCGAGGTCCCAGGTCGCCTGGCCGTCGGAGAACTGGTGACTATCTGTCAGCGAGCAGATCTTTGTGGGGAGATGATTGGGCCGTGGCTTACGGTGGGTCCGATATCCTTGATCTTGAACCACGGAGTGCTGCCGTCCGCCGCCGCCGCATCGTCAACTTTGGTCATGTAGAAGGAGGTGGGACCCTGGTGGTAAACAGCGATGTCGGCAGTGAAAGCGACGGAGCTGCCAGCGGTGACGGAGACGGTGCTGGTCGAGCTGCCGTCCGCACCGCCAACATTGCAGCGGAGGTCGTTGGACTCGAGGTCTGTACCGATTGTCAGTACACTGAGGGCTCTTTTGCCACCGTTGACACGTACCGGTCACAGGCGAGTTGTTGTTGGTGTTTTGCCTGATGTTCTGGTAGGCACCACCCTTCACGCCGTTGGCAGTGAGGTACTCGAAGATGTCTGGAAGAAAAAGTCAGGACATGGTTTGCACGGCTGTTTTTCAATGCATCTCACAGTGTCCGCTGACAGTCTGTGCCAGCACAGAGGCAGCAAAAGCGAAGGTGGTGAAGGTCTTCATGGTTGCGGCTTGCGTTGTGCAGTAGTGAAGTCAAGAAGGACCGGCCAAGACTGCTGATCGAAACATTCCGGGGCGCTACTCGACCGTTTTATCTGGCCCTCGAACGGAGGAGCTAGAGCCGTTAGCCACAAAAGGTCCTGTGTTTCACGGCTAAAGGAGTATCCACATCTTTGAGCACGGTAGAGGTGGTGGAGAGACAAGAACCGACCGTTTCGGGACAATGGCGAATTCCAGCCGAGCGGCATCGACGTTTCGACATGCTTGATTGGCTGGGAAAATTGAAGAGACTGTTTGAAGTGGGAGAAATAGCGGCATGAACGACCGCATATGTGAAACGGAAGGGAGAGCCGTGTGCAATTAAACGGTGTCCACCAACAGGAGACTTCGCATACGAGTCAAAAACAAGCTTAATCATGCAAATAGAGAAGGGGAGCGGTTAGTTCGAGGGCATACCAGAACTAGGGCTGCTGTGTGCAAGCTCCTTGTACGCATTGGCTGGCAGAAATGGCGTGGCATCTTGGGTAATGGAGTTGTGCCTTCACGTATATTACGACCCCTGCAATATAGCTTCGGAGAAAGCGGCCCATCTATCCGTCGTCTCTCTCGTCCCGACGGGCCCACGGCTCCTATGTGGATCATGGCCTGGTCCTCCTTCTAGACGCATATGATGACTATATTATACGGCGCCTGACCTTGACAGGACCTGAGCTCGAAGTGCGATCCCCACATGCAGCGCGATCTTGCGGGCCTGAGCTCAAAACCAAAAGGCGAAAATTCCGAATCTAGCAACAAGCAATACTTATAACCGCCACGTCCGACCTGCTGACATGTTCGGTCCCTTCACACCTACGAAGACCCATTTTGTGGTTGGTGATGTTTAGTTCAAAGATGGTGGGCTTACATGTAATCGCCCCGCGGCGAATTCTTGGCGCTGTTTCTTCTCTTTAGTTCAGTACCCGATCTGCCCAGTCGGCACCCGCTATATGGCCAATGAGACAGATTAGAAGAACTCGTAGCGGGCTTCCATGGCCAGTTCTACTTGTTGACTTCTAAAACTTCCCCGTGAGCACTGAAGCCTCCTGTTGGCAAGTTCGTCGCTTCGGCTCTCACTACACATGCCTCTTTCTGAATACTGCTCTCTTACTCCTCCTCCCAATACGGCCAATGTGCCGCGATGAGGTCCACAGGCGGGATCCGATAAGATAAGCGTTGTAGCTTAAGTCTCCGATCGGGTTGAAAAAAGTTTCTCCCTACCACCCGATAGGTACTGGCACTCCCCCACGCCACATACAGCCACAACCAAGCACAATGACGCAACGGCAGAGGAGCTGGTACTGGAATGCTGACCCCACCGCATGATGTTAAGAACGCAGCCGGGTTAAGTTGCTTATCGACGATAGTGCAGGGGAAAGAAGCAGATCGGGGTGCCTGATTCGGAATGGTTGGGAAGGGGTCAGCCGGGAGATCCGGACGATAGTTTTCGTCATGACAGCGCCGGGACCTTGGGATGCCTGAAGCCAAGTGACTCACGTGTCGATGGATTGAAGGCGATGCTTGTTTCAACGTCCTCGTCGCTTATATATCGTGGATCCACGAAGCGAGACCGGGAAACGTCTTTATAATTTCGACGCCGGTGAGCAGTCGCTGGGGCTGATGCGGTGCTAGTAGGCGCATTTCACACAAACCACCAGGGAAATCAGGTCATACTCCGAACCGGCGGGGTCGATTCTCTGTTTCGCGTTGGCTCAGATGATCGCAGAGTAATCGTACTACCTGAGATTTAACAGGCTTGGTGGCACAAAAGAAGTTGGCCAGGCTCCAGTACCAAATAAGAATGTTTGGAAGGTTTTTGTGGTGAGGGCAAGCTTCACCAAAAACCAAGAGCAATCTGATCCTTTGTACTCAGTCCCACAACATGGTCGTTAACTCGTCATCCATCTTGCAAAGGGTCATCAAGGTGTAGGCGGCGCAATTTCGGAAGACCCCTAACGGTGAAAATCGACGCGCAGCATATCGTTCTACATCCACTCGTTGAAGAGATCAGGAGCACTCTGAGCGTCATCGAAGGCCACCTCTAAGAACGGTATGCCGGCAGGAAAAATCAAATCACAGGATACGAATCACATGTTATGCCTGTCATCCCCATGTGTTTGAGGGCCAAAGAGATGACAGAAGCAGTGCCTGAGCTGGGAGGTGAGACGCGGGCCTCAGCAAATGGTGTCGTTGATGTGCTGCCGCAGCGGGTAATGTCGAAACATTCAGCCGGTCGGGATAACATGTCGAGCAATGGCTGTCAGGACGCCAGGAGGTGAGCTACAGGTAACCATGCCACCGTTGCCGGAGCAATGGCGTGGGGGCCACGGCATAACAATCAGGCTGAGCAGACAGAACGCGGGCGGTTCGACGAAAACACAACGCCAATGGACGTCGCAACATGGGGAGAAAGAACCAGATCGAGGCGCGATTGCAGACGGAGGCGCAGGGCTGGACCTGGACCCATTCGAGCCGTGACATCTGGCAGGGTGGCTGAGCTCAGCCGGTTTGGCGCGGGGCAGGCGATTGGACGGGACAGTGCGACGCGTGTGCGACGTGTGCGCGGCGCGGCGACGGCTGGGGGGTGAGAGTGGTGTTGCGAACGCGAGGAGGGTCGAGAGGGGCAAGGCGCGGCGGGGATGTGTTGGTGGTGGTGGTGCGGATCGGCGGTGGGGCGGATCCAAACGTGCCAAGCCTGGTGTTTGCAGCGGAACCCTTACTCGCGCGCGGCTGCGACACTGCCGGCGCGAGCTTCACGGCGGGTCCCCCCAGACACAGACAAGTCGGGGGTCAAGAAGCCAGCTATTCTTTGTTTTCCCTATTTCCCACCACCACCACCCGACTCGCCCGCCCCAATGTCTGGCCGCTTTGTGAGAGCATCCAAGTACCGTACGGCCCCAATACACGCCTCTCACACCCAACCCGCGAGGGGCAACTGTTGCTGATGCGCGCTGCATGCAGGTCACGTCTTCGGACGCTCGACGAAGAAGGCACGCCCAACCTGAATCCTGCTTTGCTGCGCCCGCGACGCTGACCGCCACCAGGAACAATGCTACGACAACCTCCGCCTGTCTAAAAACGCCTGGGACAGCAACATCATCAAGGTCCGCGCCCCCGCTGTCCAAGCCCCTCCTGACGCCGCCCGCTGACGCCGCTCTCCCAGGCCAACCCCAAGTACCTCGCAGTCAACTACGAGTCTGGCGGAGGCGGTGCCTTTGTTGTCATTCCCGTCGACGAGCGCGGCAAGCTGCCCGACATTCTCCCCCTGTTCCGCGGCCACACCGGCCCCGTCCTCGATACCGACTGGTACGCGCTGTCGCGTGCGTGTATATTACAAAACATGCGGGCTGAGCAGGAGCAGGAACCCCTTCAATGACGACGTCATCGCCTCCGCTTCCGACGACGGCAAGGTATGAGGTTGTCGTGCTCGTACCCGCTGCAGACATTCACACGTGGACAGGTCTTCCTCTGGAAGGTGCCCGAGAACTTCTCCCTCCACACCGATGCCGACGAGCCGCAAGATGTCGCCCCCGCCGCCAAGCTAGCCGGCCATACCAGGTAATTGGCTCTGTTCCTCGTCCCGGACTCTGCTAAGCCCCCGTGTAGGAAGGTCGGACACGTCCTCTGGAACCCCGCCGCCGAGAACGTCCTCGCCAGCTCCTCGGGCGACTACCTCGTCAAGCTCTGGGACGTCGAGCACGGCCAGCAAAAGCTGACTCTCAAGCACAACGACATGGTCCAGTCGCTCTCCTACAGCGCCAATGGCTCTCTGCTCGTCACTACTAGCCGCGACAAGAAGCTCCGCATCTGGGATGTGCGCCAGGAGAAGGCCGTCCACGAGGGTGCCGGCCACAACGGCGCCAAGAACAGCCGCGCCGTCTGGATGGGCGAGCACGACAGGATCGCAACCACCGGCTTCTCCAAGATGAGTGACCGTCAGCTCGGTCTGTGGGACATCAGGGCCGCGAGGGAGCCGCTGAACGGTTTCGAGATTCTCGACTCCATTTCTGGTGTCTGCATGCCTTTCTGGGATGATGGTACCAACATGCTGTACCTTGCTGGCAAGGGGTAAGGAGCAACATTCGTACGTGTGAGAAGATCCGCACTAACGAGAGTAGTGATGGCAACATCCGGTACTTCGAGTACGAGAACGACAAGTTCGAGTTCATCTCCGAGTACAAGTCTGTCGACCCCCAGCGTGGCGTTGCTTTCATGCCGAAGCGCGGTGTTAACGTGAGTCTGTTGATTTGAAAACTTGCCGCCATTCTGCTGACGATTCGAAGCTCCACGACAACGAAGTCGCTCGCGCCTACAAGACCGTCAACGACAACTACATCGAGCCCATTGCCTTCATCGTCCCCAGGCGGGCCGAGGTTTTCCAGGGCGACATCTACCCTCCGGCCACCGGCACCAAGCCCGCCATGTCCGCAGCCGAATACTGGGACGGCAAGGACGGCATCCCGCCCAAGTTCTCGCTGGAAGCCGCTTACGAGGGCACGGCTCCCGTCGAGGTTCCCACGGAATACAAGTCCTCCCCTGCCCCTGCCCTTGTCCCGGCGTCTAAGGAAGAGCCTAAGCTCGAGCCTAAGCCTGAGCCGACCCTCGCCCCCGCCTCCCGCGGCCCGCCCCCTTCGGTCAACGAGAACAAGGCCTCCATGGCCGACGCGGCGGCCAAGTTCGCCGACAAGGAGGAGGCCGAACCCGCCGAGGACGACTCCAGCTTCGAGGAGATCCAAAAGCCCGTGGAGCGCCAATCCTTCACCGCATCCCGCCAGGAGGAAAAGGTCCGCGGCCCTCCGGAATCCACCAAGGCGCCCGAGCCCGCCGCAGCTCCCGCGCCCGCCGCAGCTCCCGAGCCGGAAGCCACCGTCAAGGAGACGCCCCGCTCGGTTTCGACGTCGTCGGCGAGCGGAGCGGCGAGCAGCGCGGCGGCGGGCATCAAGGACTACCTCTCGGAGATCAAGTCGATGCTCGAGAGCCAGGGCGCGCAGATGACGAGCCAGCTCGAGCAGATCACGCACCTCACCTCCGAGGTCAACCTGCTGAAGGCGAAGGTCGCGGACATCAGCGCCGGCGGCGAAAAGGACGAGCGCATCAGGCAGCTCGAGCTCGAGCTCGAGGAGGCTCGCTCATGAACGTCGCGTGTTGTCGTTCGGTCGGTTCGGGAACGGGGACGGGGAGGGAGACGGGGAGGGAGACGGGGAGAGAGGCGCTTGCGCTTGCGCTTTGAAAATGATGTGATGAGGGATTGAATGGAATGGGATGACGGAGAGGCTGTGTGTGTTCTTTTTTCATTCTTTCTTCTCCGTATTCTTCTTCATCGTCATTTTCATCGTCTTCGTCTTCGTCTTCGTCTTCGTCACCACCGTCATCATCACGACGCTTCATGCTAGACGGGTTCGTTCCGGAAACGTCCGGTGTTGGGTTGGGGGGTTTTTTTTTGTTGTTTACCTACTGCGAGCTGGATAGAAGGCGGGGGAGTGGTTGGTTGGTTGGTGTGTAGGGGTTTGGAGGTGTGTGAGGTATAAGGGGGATGCAGAGGGGGAGGCAGAGGGGAAGGCGGCGGCGGCGGTGGTGGTGGTCATCGTCGCGCAAAGTGTTGTCGTTGTTGGAGTGGTTGCTGCTGCTGCTGTCGGTGTTGTTGGCGTGGAAGTGGAAGTGGAAGTGGAGGAGGGAGGACGCTTTGAGGCTTGGCGCTGCTTGTTTAGATTCCCCCCCCGCGCACTCATGGTCCGAATTTGCTCCTGTGGTTGTCCTGTGGTTGTCCTGTCCTGTCCTGTCCTGTCCTGTCCTGTCCTGTCCTGTCCTGTCCTGTCTTGTCCTATCCTGCCTGTCCTGCCTGTCCTGTCCTATCCTGATTGAGTATGCGGTTTGTGTATGTGAGAGAGAGAGAGAGAGAGAGAGAGAGAGAGAGAGAGAGAGAGAGAGAGAGAGAGTAACAGAGATAGAGAGAAGGAGGTCTTCACTACGACTATGTCTATGTCTATGTCCATGTCCCCTTCTTCTTCTTCTTCTACTTCTTCTCTATCGGGGGCTTTGCGTGTTATTGTTATCGTCGTGAGGTCATCGATTTGCGGTTCACTCTTAGAAGTATGTATGTACAAGAAAGAAGAAGAAAAATGGCGGAGGGGCTGGCTGGCTGGATTGCTTATCTCTCTGCTTTGAATTTTTTATTTTTTTATTGCTCCCTTGCTTTTTCTTTTGCTTTTTGTTTTGTTTTGGCGTTAGCGATAGCGTTGGCGAATGTTTTGTTCTGGACTATTTTTCTTATGTCGATATTTTTTTTTTTCGATATGGTGAGGTTATTTTCTGTGTCTTTTGATTCTCTGTGTCTCGCGGACTGTGGACTTGTATTGGAGGTGAGGAGTTGTATGGTTACGAAACGTGTTTCTGTCCATATGTCTGCTTTGGCTGGCTGGCTCGCTGGCCGGCTTCTGTGATGGTGATGATGATGGTGGTGGTGATGATTTCCATGCGCACAACTATCCAGTAGGCTACTACGGAAATTAACCAATCAATGAAGAGCTCATCCCATCCCGCCCCGCCCCTTCACGAGTTGTACCTAGTAGGTGACGCTCGACTTTTACCGGCTTGGATGGTTGTATGTATTCCGGAAGAACTCGGGCTCTTCGTCAACGAACGGTGATGTGCCTTCGAAGAGCTGTGCTTTCCCCACGTACTACGTGACTTGGGCCGCCTTGTGTTGCTACCGCGGCCGTGGCCGGATGAATAGAAGTGACTGAGAAGGTTATGAACACCCGGTTTCAGGGCAAGGTTTCCTGCACGAGGTTGTTTGCTTGTATTCCGTCAGCAACAGACAGCACCGGGACATATGTTCTATGAATCATCCTGCTCCGTTCTTCAGATCACGATCATGTGGGTCTGTTGACATGGTAGATGTCTTGACGAAAGGCGAAGTGTTGATTATGTAATCTACATGATAATGATGCGCTTAGCAGATTCGAACAAACGTAGCTCACGCTTGTTATCGCTATAGCGCGGCAGTTGAAAGGAAAATTAATTTTCGCCTGACATGAACGGTATTCTCCATCATCAGTGTAAACAGTAGGTTCATAAGGGGCGGCTCAGGGTGGACGGGAAATCCCGGCCAGGAAAAGCCAATATGGTTCAGCAAGCAGAACAAGCGGAGTCGACACAACTAAACGTACGCAACACCAGGCTGTCTGGCAAAGCCGAGTCTGGGGGCGCTGGCCGTCGTCTGATCGAAGACGATGTACTGAGACCTCAAGAAGATCAAGCCGTAGATGGAGAAGCCGATGCCGGTGTTTTCCTGGATGCCTCCGTAGCAGTTGTTGGACTGGTCGACGGCGCCGTAGATGAGGTAGGATCCCGGCATGGTGACAAGAGATCCGCCGATGACGGTGCTGAAGGCGGGCGGCGTGCTGGTGCAGGGCACAATCCATCCACCAAAGTAAGTGCTCTTGGACGCGCCGGGGACCTGGGCGTAGTAGGCTGACACAACATCGGTAGGCAGGTAAAACAGACTGGTGCCGGTGTCGATGATGCTCGAAATAGTCTTCTGGACGACAGCACCGCTGCCAATAGAGTAGCCAGTGCTGTTGAACCCCCAGAAGCCCGGCTTGGGAGTGCTCAAGACGTTGGTGTAGGCAATGGTGCCCGTGTAGGAAGACGAGTTCAGGAATCCGAAGTCGTATTTCCCGGCTTGGCCCTTCTTCAGCAATGAGGTGAAGAGTGGTTTGGCGAGGGTGTTCTTCACCGTATCGAAGAAGGTTCTCTGGGGAGTGGGCCTGACAGAGTTGAGACTGCTGAAAGCAAGGCCCATGACGCCGTCGCTGTTGGTGTCTTGGACGAAAAGGGATGAAGCACTCGTGGCTGCCTCGACGCTCTGCTTGGTGGCAGTCACTTCCCCGACGACGACTTTGTCGGCGTAGACAAGACCTGAGCCTCCGCTACCGTCACCATAGGTGATGGTCCACGACTGTTGTGGTAGGAGAGTACCAGACTTGGAGGGATTGTAAAGCGATTGGCCGTTGGTAGAACCGGGTGCCATGAGGGTGGAGAAGACCCACCTGGGGCATCGTACGTCAGCACATTCAGCGAACGAGTTTTGGATACGTACAAGTCAGAAGAGCCGCTGTCAAGATAAAGGTTCAGAGTATCGGATCCCAGCGTGACAGGCGACAAGTACAGAGTGTCGAAACTATCTGCGGGAACCGCCGCGACAGAGCGTTCGGAGAGGTCTGCATAGGCAGCGGCCGAGTTCGCAACGGCTGCGGAGACGAACTCGGGGACGGGAAGGCCATATTTGAGATATGTCCTTTCCATAGCCATCGGACCATTCTTGAGGATCTGCGCCTTCGGGACCTGCTCAATGGAGAAAGTCTGTCCGAGCGTGTCCACGCCCTGCGGAACAGCAAACGCGGCCGCAGCGAAGAGGGCGGGAAGGAGGACGGAGGTGGAGGTCGAAGACATGGTTGCAGGTGTCGCAAGGGTCGAAAGCCAGAGGTTGCCGAGTGCTGCAACTTGCTGCTTCGGACTAGGAAAGTGTCAATTTATAGCCACGTCGGGCGTGATGAACAGTCGACGGCGAAAGAAGGGGGACCATGTCAAAAATCCACGCGTCTGCAGTTTAGCGGAAATGGGATGCGGTAACGGAATTCCGTCTCGAAAGCACGAGGAGGGAACTACTTGGCGCAGGAAGTTTCATTCCAGCGTGTTGCAGTTGACTGCTAGCGTGAATTGCCTCGATCCGTGCAAGCTTGCTCCAAATTCACTCGATGGGTGAGCACGTCACGTCAGGATGGAAGATTGCATAACTTTGTATGCCATGGTGTAGCTGAGTCTCAATTGGTCGGTGCCGGAGGCGTCCGCATTATAGCTGTGCCCTCCTCGCCTACGTGAGCAGCCCCTTGATGGAGTGTAGCGGCCAGGGAGCCACGTGCCAGGGAGTGGGGATTACCAAAGATTGGGACAACGGTGTCGTGCTTAACGGGAGAGACAGAGGGGAAAAAGCAGGTAAGGGAGTGCGAATCGATTCCTCAGGTCGGGTTGCCGCCTTGGGCGCGAGGTGCAGCTGGACTCTGGGAGTGACTGCTGGGATTGGTCTCTGTCGTGAAGACAGAATGCAATCACCGATCAGGGCGAGATGACAGACGTGCCAGGTGCGCAGAGGTGGAATGGAGCTGAAGTCTGCACGCAAATCGGCAACACCAGGGGGGGAGAGGAGCAATTTCCAGGGCTGTGGGGTGAAGAGTTGGGTGCTGCTGCTGACTACGTAAGTAGAGAAGGAGGCAAGGAGACGGGTTGGGGAAGGCGCGGGGCGGCAGGGGCAAGCGAGGGGTCACGTGGGGCAGGCGGTGTCTCAGGGCGCCGACAAATCCGACAATTCCGTAACTCGGCCCAAGAACCACCATTGACGAAAGGTGCAAATGGACGAGTCTCTGCCGGCAGGTACTGTGCGCCTGTGCCGTATCCACCGCCTGTCCACGTGCTGACCCCAGCCCGACCAGCCTCGCTGCGGGGCCCCAAGATCTCCAAGGCGTGCGAGGAATGCCGCCGGAGGAAGCAGAAATGCAACGGCCTCAGTCCATGTAACGTGTGCAGCAGGCGCAACACCGTCTGCTCCTACAGGTCCTTCATCCGCCGCCGCACCGGCCGCACCCAACCCGTCCCGGCCCCGACCCCGACCCCCGGCCCGCACCTCGCCCAGGAGCCCCCCAGGCCCGAGGACCGCGACGGCACTGCCACGTCTGCCGACCGCGAGAGCAGCCATGCCGACTCCTCGGCCTTCTCCGACGCCCCTCCGCGCTACCACATTTACAAGAACATCCGCGCCACCCACGTCCCCGCCGACTCGCCCTCGTGCGTGCTGCAGCTGTACTACGGCTCCTCGTCCAACTTCTCCTTCCTGCAGCACCTGCACACCCACCTGACCGCCCACGATGCCGTCCCCCGCCCCGACACCCATGTCGAGGAGGTCCAGAACGGCAACGAAAGCATTGACGTTTACAAGTACCAGGGCCTGGCCTTTGGCAACACCCCCGGCCAGCGCGAGACCAACCCCATGTTCCTGAGGCACGAGCTTGCCCGCACTTTCCTGCACAACTACCTGTCCGCCGTCCATCCCCATCTGCCCTTTCTGTCCACAGACCAGCTGTGCGCCAATTTCGAGCGGCTTTATGGATACGGCGACGATGCCAAGATCGACCCCTCCGAGAGGGCCCTCGTCATCGTCGCCATGGCAATAGGCGCCTGCCCCAGCCAACACGACCTGTGGCGGAAAACCCTCCTGGCTCAGGCGAGGTCCGAGGCCGATTCTCTTCTGCATGTCGTCAACTTGCGCGCTGTCCAAATCGCCCTGCTCATGATACGTTCCCCCATCCAATCTTCCAAACCCCGCGCTTTGGCTGACCTCCGCGATACGCCTATTGTGAATTTATTGTCGGCAACCCGAACTCGAGTTACCTGTATCTTGGCGGCGCCATCCGTAAAGCATTCGCCGCCGGCATGCACCGAGGGAGCCCCACCAGCCGGCAGTCTCTCAGGGACTGTTCGGAAGTCAGTCAGACGTGCTGGAGCTTATTTTACTTTGAAAGGTTCGTATCTGTTAATTTGGCGCACCACGCCGCTAGCCGAAGTCGCCCTAACACCGTTTGTTCTAGCCTCATCTGCTCCGGCCTTGGGAGACCGTCGTCGCTTTCACTGCAAGACATTGGACTCTCCCAACCCGAGCGCCCGTCCTTTATGTCGGCGCAGGTCACACTGTCAGAACTCATACGCAGCGTCCAGCACTTTTACAACCATCACGATTCATCCGTGAGCGCCGATTTGAAACATGCTCATCGGATTCGCAACAAGCTGCGAACTTTCGCCCAGACCGTCAAGGACGACTTCGGCTTCGCCCTCGGCTCTCACCTAGGAACAGAAAGAGATGAAGACTTTGTCGTCCGCGCCGTCATTTCTTACTGCAAGTGCTTGATGCCCGTGCTGTTGCTTCTCGGCTAATGGCAAGCAGTGTATTTTTACACCCTCCTTCTCACCTTTCGCCCTTTTCTACTTCTTTTCGTCGAACTGAAGAGACGTGGCGAAGCTGAAGGGAAAGACTCTGAATCAAAGTCCAATCCCTTCAACATACCCCCGTTGTTGGAGGCTTGTGAACACACGGTAGATGCAGCCCGCTCGATAGTGATGCTGGGTGAAATTGTCTTCTCAACCGGACCTGGTGCCGAGGTACGTCAACCGGTCAACGTCCTCGCAATGACGGAGCTGACGGATCCAAGGGCATATACAACAACTGCTTCTTCCTCGAGAGTGCATGCTTCGTGTTGATACTGGCGGCGCTCCACGATAAAAGCGCCACTCGGCGCCACATTCGGTATATCAACCGTGGCATCCGCGCATTGCGACAGATCCACCCACGGGAGCCAATAATCAGCATAATTGCAGCAATCGACGAGATGCGCGGCAAAGTCGAGATGCTGACGGGTCTACACGAACCCATGTCTGCAATGATTAACAGCGACCAAGGACAAGCGAGTATGAATGCCGGCTTGAAGCCGGAATACGTCGATCCAGACGGCATATCCGCTGCTTCGGCGCCAGGAATGTTGCCTGGTACAGACCCGAGCCAGCCGGACTTGGAGACGCCGCCGGGATTTGGTTCCTTCGAGCAGCGTGCACCAAGCGTTTCAAGCGATGTCCTGGACGCGTCTTGGCCGTCCATGGACTGGAACTTTGACCTCTCGAACATCGACCTCGAATCCTTCGTCTCGGTCATGGGGAACCAACAGGATGCAAACTTTGGGTTGTTTTAATTAGTCCACGCGTGCTGTGCCACTTGATAACAGGCACACCTACCAGATAATGCGTAATGCATAATGTATCCCGCTTCGCAAGGGCCGTGACGTGGATAGACGTGCTTTCGAGAAGATTCCCAATCGAGGTCGGATGATGGGATGATGCCGTCGTCAACCAGCCACAGGAAGGCGCACCCGAATCGGCTTCTTGGCACCCATGTGTCTCGGCGCCTTCCTACAGCTGAAGTAGTTGGCGAGCTTGCCGCATCTTCAACATTTCCAACTGGACCCAGACCTCTTCATCCTTCTCGCCCTGGCCCCGAAAGCTCGCAACATGTATTCCTAAACACCTATCCGCTACCCTATGGAATCATGGAACGCTCCGACGCCACCCCCTGCTTCCTGCCAGAGACCATGTACTTCGACTGCCGCGCCTTCTTCTCCCAGCCTCATGTCTCGCGAAAACGACCGGCATGCCACATCAGGCGCGACAGATGACCCGTGAGAAGGCTCAAGCGCCCTTTGGTGCGCATAGTCTTCATTGATGCGGCATCAGATACGTATCGCCTACATCCAGTCAAGGCGCATTCATCACGCGCTCCAGCATCGCTTTATTCCTCTGGGCCTTGCTGTTCGTCATGACGCGGTGCGAAGTATCCTTGCGCCCGTACTGTACTTGATCGTTGCTGACCTACTCTACTCAGTCTGTACATACGATGCAAGATTTCGGGCGTTCGGGGCTGGGACGATTACTTCATACTGGTTGCCATGGTACGACACTGAAGCCCGGCATTCTTTGTTGAAGTCACATCTGATACCTCCAGCTGCTCTGTGCGGTTGAAACGGCCATGATGCTGGCACAAGTTGAGTATGGCTGGGGAAACCATGCCAGCGAGTTGTCCTTGGAACAACTAAACAAGACTCAAATGGTGAGATGTCTTCTGCTTCTTTCTGGCCTCATGATGCTAAGCACATAGCTGACCGTGAACTAGTACCGATGGATCTTTCAAATTGTGTCCTTCTTCACAATTTTGTGCGTCTCCGCTGCGCCGACCTTACCCATATACCATGCTGATTACACAGTACCATCCAAATCTCTGTCTGCTGCTTGATCCTGCGCATGATGCGTGGAGCGACGACGTTTGGGAATGAATGCCGTCGTTGTGTTTGGACCGTCATACTCTTTGTCATCATCCGCTTGATCGTCAATGTAGCTGTGAGCTTCCCAATGATGCTCCAACCATTACTCTGTTGACATAGCTCCAGGTGCAGATCGGTCAGTGCAAACCCGTCCACCGCTACTGGGAAGTACAGCTTCGACCGAATGGATGTATCAACATAGGCCTCTGGGTCATGATCACCAGTTACCTGAACGCCTTTACCGACATTATTCTTCTCGCCCTTCCCATGCCACTAATCTACAAGCTCCAGATCCACATCAAGCAGAAAGTGGGCATCGTCATAATCTTCCTTACCGGTGTAATTCCCGTCGGCGCCTCCATAGTGCGAAGTGTGCATCTCACACAATCCTATGATGACCAGAGACAGTGGCTTGTAAGAGACACGTCTTGGTACGCAACCCTACTTCCTCACCACCAATACACCGCGAGCACACACACAAGCGCCACCACCCCCACCCACGTCCCCAACCACCCAAATGTATGTTTCCGCATAGACCACACGACCAATCTCATGTTTTCTTTGGACAGGCGCTGGGCCCTCATCCCGTTCTGGTCGCACGTCGAAACCACGCTCGGCATCGTCGCCGCCTGCATCCCGACGCTGAAGCCGCTGCTGAAATGGTTCTTCCACCGCCTCGGCATCCGCACCCGCACCGCCACCAGCACATACGCCGACAACGTCAACGGCAGCAAGATCACCAACACCGGCAGCACCACCGCCAGCCGCAACATCAGCAAAGTCAACTCGCCCGTCAACATCAACATCAACCACACCAGCAACGTCACCTCCCCCGCCACGTCTCACCACCAATCGTCCATCAAAGCCGCCGCCAACAACAACAAAGACCACATCGCCGCCCTGGACTACTCCCTCCGCGCCGCAGCCGTCCGCATCCGCAAAGGCGGCGACGCCGACGCCGAAAAAGAAGAAGAAGAAATATCCTACCCCTTCCGCCCGCCACCCACCCCACCGCTCCGACACCACAACGACAGCGACGCCGACGCCGACGACGAAGATGACACCGACGACGGCGACGACGACGACGCCGCCATCTCGGACAGCAGCCTCGAAGACTATTTCCGCACGCACGTGGCGCCGAGCGCTCGTGCCAGCAACAACAATAGCAGCGGTAGCAGTAGGAGTAGGGGTAGGAGTAGGAGTAGGAGTAGGAGTGGGCGGTGGATCAATGCTAGGGGGGGTGTCGATGGTGCTGCTGGGAATGTCGGCGGGAGGACGGGGGGGAGCGGGAAAGGGGGGAGGACGGCGGCGGCGGCGGTGGTGGCGGTTTCTTCTCCTTCTTCTGCTGCTACTGCGGATTGTTCGAGAGGCGGACGGTGATGGTGAGATTTCGGGTGTAGGTGGTGGTGGTGGAGACAGCTGCCGTGGTTGGTAAGTGTAACCAACTGTCGATCGTTGCTTCTCTTCGTCGTGTGGTCGCTGAATCGATTGATCATCGTGGTGGTGATGGTGATGTTGTTGTTATTGTTGTTGTTGTCGTTGATACGAATGCTGTTCCAGAGGGGAAAGAGAAAATAATGAGGAAAGCAAAAAAGACTTCACGACAAAGAAGGAAGAAGAAGAACCAAATAAGCAATATTACCATTTTTTACTCGCTTTACTGGCTCGAGCACTTTGTTTGCGTGCTTGCTTGCGTGCTTGCTTACTCCGTACTACGGGATTCCATGTCAAAAGAAATCGGATCCGACGAGAGATTGGAATCGAAAACAAACACACCGACAGACAATAGGAGCGACAACCACGACGATGACGACGACTTTACAACTACAACTTACAAATATCCAAAATAGAAACAAACCAAATACTACGCTACTAACGACAGCACTAACTAATATCATCTGCCAAAACGACGACACACGACCACAACCACAACCACAGCACTAGTATCGATCCCGTCTCGTCCCCACCGCTATTTCTCTCGTTTCTCTCTCTACAGAATAAACAAAAGACAACAGGCTGTTTCGTATACAGAGAGAATAGAAAACCAACAAACAAGTAAGTAAAGAAAAAAAAAAGGGAAGTCCGTTACTGTTCTTGTTACATTTAGGCCATTCTAAGGATTTCCATCCACCACCCGCTACCATGCACCCACCGCACCCACCACAACGGCTGCCGCCGCCGCCGCCATTTCCCACCAACCTCACATCACCTCCCTCCCTCTCTTCCCCCCTCCTTCTTTCGTCCTCGCCCTCCTTCCTTACTCTCCTCTTTCCTCCCTCCTCCCTCATCTTTCCTCTTCCCTCCTTCCTCTCTCCCTTCCCCCCCGCCTTACCTCCTCACCTCCTCACCTCCCCACCTCCTCACCACCTCCCCCACCCCCATCCCCTCCCCTCCCATCCTCCTCCCCCCAAATCAATCAACCAACCATCCCCCCATATCCTAAACGAACCTCACCTCCCCAAACAGACTCGCCCTCACCTGCAAAATGGCAATGAGCTCGAGCACAAACTCCTGCAGGATGACGACGTTGGTCAGCACGTGGCTGAGCGACGCCTCGCGCGCCTCGTCGGCGTCGTCGCCCGGCCTCTCCTCGCGGCGCCAGCTGCTGGCGCGCGAGCGGCGGCCGCGTTCTTGCTGGTAGTGTAGGTCGTCTAGAGTAGTAGTGGTCCTGTCGGTGCTGGTGTTGGCGGGGATGTTGATGGTTGGGTTGGTGGTGTTGATGTTGCTGTTGATGTTGCTGTTGCTATCATTGTCGTTGTTGCCGCCCTCTTCCTCGGTGGGGGGCATGTCGGTGGGCATTTCGGGGAAAGGCTCGCTGTGCAGCATTTCGTCCTCCAGCGCCGGGAAGGCCTCCGTGTCGCCGTTGGAAGAAGAGTTGTTGTTGTTGTTGCTAGTCTGTTGTTCTTTCTCGGCACCGGCCGTGGTGTCGTGAGCGGCGGCGGCGGCATCCGTGCCCCTAGCCTCCGGCGCTGGCGCTCCGCCATCCTTCGAGTCGTCGTCCTTCTTGGCTCCTACCCCTGAATCGGCGGCTGTGGCGGCGGCGGCCGCGCCCTTGCCTTCATTTTCCTCGTCCGCAACCTCCGTCAGCGGCTGCTCTTTCGGCAACGCCGGCAGGGCCTTCTCCACCAGCTTCTGCTGCAGCTGCAGCTCTTCCATCCTCTTCTTCCGCGCCTCCGACGGCTTCAGCGGGAACCGGATCGTCTTCTTCAAAATCTCCGCGTTCGCCGCGTCGTTGACGTCGTTCAGCACCGTCGACGTGAGGCTCGGCCGGCGCGGGTCCGGGATGAGGAGCGGCGGCTTCGATGGGCTGAGGCCCCTCGCGCTACCCCTGACCGGCGACCGCGAGTGCGAAGGATGCGGGCTTGGGCTCAACGTCGGCGCGTCCAGGCGCGAGGGTGCCTTGGGTGGTGCGGGAGAAAGCCGGACCGTCGGTTGGATGGTGTGAGCGCGGCCTCGTGGCGACTGCGACCGGAGCGGGCTGACGGCGCCTTCGAGCATGTTCTGGAACTGCGGAGTCCACGATCCGGGGCCGCTGGGCGTCTCTCCATGCGAAGACTTGGGCGGGCCTAGGGGGGTCGGCGGCGGGAAGTTGGCGGTGGAGCGCATGGCTTCGTTGAGCTCTTCGTGCACGCGGAAGGCCTGCTTGCGGTTCGCAACGTGCACGTTGAAATCCGGTATTTGCTCGCGGAGGCACTCGATTTGCTCCTGGAGGTTGTTGAGAGCAACCATCAAGGCAGGCGCGCCACCAGGTGTCCAGTTCGGCCTGCGACGGGCCCGGAAGATGTCTCTGAGGTCCTCGTCCTCATTGTCGAAGGTCTCATTAGGATTGAACTGATAGTTCGTCGGCTCGACAGCAAGCCAACCCTCCAACCGCAGGTTAGGGCATGTGGCGAGATTGACGATGGCTTCGGTGAGGTTCAGGTTCGTTTCGACGTTGTTTGTGAAGAAGTTGGAAAGGATGCCCATCAAAGACTTGAACAGGGCATCTCCAGCCGTCAAATGATGGATGGTGGATTCTTTGCGTATCTCTGCGTGAAGATAATCAACGGCTGCTTGGTTCGGGAGGCTCAATCCATGGAGGGAGAGATGCTTCATCGAGCACGGATGCGCTTCCAAGAGGCTCAGAACATCCTTCAAGAAAGACTCGTACTCTCTGTTGATGTCGGATCCATGAACCATGTTGTTGGCAAGTTCGAGGTAGCTGTCAATCTCGGCGTGCAACGCTCCAACAGTCCGGAGGGGATCCTTCATATGGACTTCGGTGACGTTGACAAGTGTGCCGGTGGCGTACTTGTGGTTCTTGCTGAGAATCGTAGAGACGAGTTTCAACGCAGAAGCGACTGTCTGATGGTTCCGCGATTGGGAACAGTTCAAGAGGAGATCCACCAGGTTGAAAAGCGACGGGTTGAGCTCAGGTTCCTTGTCGTTGGGCTTGGCGAGCAGCATAAGAGTCGATCTCCGCTTCTTGACGCTCCTCGATCTCGGGCGGCCGGCTTGCTCGTCTGGAAGCGCCAGGAGGTAGCGCAGAATCATGTGTACGAGCTCTGGGTGGTCCAGCGCATCAAGGATACGTCGCAGGTAGTTGAGAACGGCGACGGCAGAACCGCCGTCCACATCAGACGACTCAAACAACGATGGGTATCTGATAAATGATTAGCAGCGGATATCCGTGTCTAGCATGCACAAGCTTACAGTAGTTGCTGCAGAAATAGAACCTGGAAATGATCAATCAAAGTCTGCCTGACGTCGGGCGACTTGCAATGCTCAAGCACGTCCTGCCAAAACGCCAAATAAGACAAAAACGTGTCCATGTGAAGCTTGAAGTCCTCGGAAAAGATGTTCTCGGAATCATTGATGGACTTCTCGACTTCCGGGTAGTCGGAGAGCTGGAGGATGATGGGGAGATCGTCCTTGGGGTGGATGATGGAGAGCTTCCGGCTCAACTGGCTGTACAGGGCGCCGAGGCCGCTCGCCATGAGGGTGGCCAGGTCGCTCTCGACGATCCACTGCTCCAGATCGTGTGACTTGGACGACGTCTCGAAGATGTACAGCAGGCCGGTGCGGGCGAAGTCGCCGATGCGGCCCTCGTGGTGGACGTGGTCGATGAGCTGGTAGCACAGGGGGAAGTCCTCCTTTCGGATGACGCCGGCGAAGCCGACCTGCTGCACCATGCCGCCATCCGAGTCGACCTTGCCGGTCGAGCTGAACCACACGGGCAGCAGCTCCGGCTCCAGCCTGATCTTGGCGGCGATGCCAAACAGCAGCTCGACGATCTCGGCATCGGTGTCCTCGCCGGCGACCAGGCTCTGCGAGCTCGCGATGCGCGAGATGAAGGACATCAGGGCGTCGGCGAAGCGGCCGTTGGCCAGGAAGTCCTCCTCCTCGCTGTCAATGAGGGCGCTGAAGAAGCCGACCGCCTCCCTAACCAGGGCCTCATTGTGCGATGTGGCGGCGATCTTGGAGATGGCGGAGAAGATGTGAGAGCTGGCGGCAAACGACAGGCAGAGGTGCGGGGCGGGCGAGCGCGATTCTTCGTTCAGGATGGCCGTCAGGCGTTGGAAATGGGAGCGGAGCGAGTCCAGGGCGGGCCAGTCGCCGGCCAGCTGGGCCGACTTCTGCCATGTTTGCTGGACGCGGGTCAGCGGCAAGCAGTCTCGAGCAATGCACAGGGGCGGCGCACCAGGATCTGGTTATACACGCGCTTGAAGCGGGCCAGGCGCTGCTGCGGGTCGTTGGCGGTCGAGCGTCGCTTCTGCGCGCCGGAGCCACCGATCAACCGCGTCCACTGTGGCAGAGAGGGTCAGCAGAGTCCTGGGGCACGCGGGGAAGGGCCGTCGGGAGGCCGTACAAAGTCCATGGCAGCAGCGTATTCATGGTGTTGGGAGGTTGGCGGAGCGGTCCACGCGTCGGCCGGCGTTTCAAGCGCAAACAGCTGGAGCGGCCCGCCGGTGATGTCGGAGCGTCCAGCCAGCTCCCGTCCGCGGTGATGATCACCATAAAATTCAACCACTTCCCAAACACCCGAAATGCATCAATTTCACCGCCTCGCACGCTGGGTATCCACTAAGACTACGCCTGCCGCGCGCAAACTCCCGCCGCCAAACGCCTGATCACCCGCCGTGCCCCTCACCGCTGCCATTTACACCCCTGCCGCCTACTGCTTCTTGAGCGCCGCGTCCAGGTGCCACTTCATGACCTTCTGGAACGCCGTCTTGCCGTCCTTTTCAATCACGTCGCCGTGGCACGGGATCATGCGCTCAAAGTCCCATGCGTTGATCCTCTCCACGCTCTCGTTGAACGCCGCCCGGTCCTGCTTGCTGGCCATGTACCACAAGAACCGGCGGTGGCCCGTCGCCTCGCCCTGAAGGTTCGTGAACAGCGAGAAGAACTTGGTGAGGAAGCCCGTCTGCGCGTCCCCGCCGACCCTGCTGTGCTGCTCGATCGCCGGCATGTTGAAGATGAGGTCGGCCTCGATCAGCGTCTTCGTGGGCTTGTGGTTGAACACGATCTCCTTGTTGGCGTGCGCGTGCACATATTCGTACTCGAACTCGGCGTCGAACTACTGGCCCTGTTAGCTGCTGCTGTGCGACACGAGGAGTCGGAAAAGGTAAATCATGCGCACCTCGGGGTCGACCTTGATCTCGTGCTTCTTGCTCGGTTCAAACACCACGGCGAACGGCACGTTCTCGTTGTTTTGCTTCTGGCGCTTCTCTGGCAGCCCCTCGGGGCCCAACACCTTTGCGTTGGGGTACTCCTTGTACCAAGGCCCAAGGAAAATGTGGTGCTCGTAGTCAAGGGCGGTGATGTATTTGACCTCACCCATCGAGTCTACCTTCTTTTTGAGCTCATCCGTGAGCGCCGTGGGCGAGAACACGGCGAGCGCGCCATTCTGCATGCGCACTGAAGTTCAAGTCAGCAAGTCGGCAACCTCGTAGGAAGCGGAGCAACGCAGGAGCAACGCAGGAGCCAACGCACCAACTGTGCCTCTGCCACCGATCTTGATACGTCCAAAGCGGAGAAAAGGTGCGGAGCTGGTGATGATTGTGCCGGGCACAACCTCACGAATGACCGTGACGGCCTCGGGGTTCGAAGGGATGAGCTTTGAAGCCATGGTAGAGAACAGTTGGGGAAGCGGTTCGATTGGCAAGCTAACAGCGCGGGAGACCAACGGCCTTTGTACGGTATATAGCTACTTGAGTCGCACGGGAACGGGGTCTCGAGGCCTCCGAGTCATGGAAAGGCCTGGAACAAGGGTGGTTTGCAAGAGTCCGGAGTTAAAACATCATGATGACAAGGATTACGCCCGTAGCCGCAGCTACTTTAAAGCTGTTTGCGATGACGTATGCCCCTCTCCCTCTCTCTCTCGCCCCTGCCGAGCCGTTGCGTTGACTATAACGGCAACCTTAGTGGCGGATGGAGGCGGGTCGAAGCGAGCATGCAAGTCAGAACATGCAAAGAATCTCAAATTGCAGCTGACGGGCGTCCCTGCGTGGCTGTGCGGCCCAGATGTGATTACTGAGACCCCTGCCATCTATAAGCATGTGGCATCGTCGAGCCGCAACGTTCAAGCGACGCCCGCATCTAGACCATGAGACCACTAATCAAACGGTACGAGTCTACCGAGGAGACGGATGCAGCGCTTTCCGTCAAGCTATGATTTGCATTTTACCCTAGCTCTCTTGTATTGCCTTCGCCGACGTGGTGTGAGCATTCTTTCCGCTGCTCCGCATGCGTCGGACTGCCGAGCTCCTGCGGAGCAACCATCGTTCCGGAGATGGGCACGTCTCTGAAAACACCGAAACTACATCGTCCGCGGGTCTTCGTTGTTCCAGGGCATACGCGGTGCATCCTCGTCGTCCCTTTCCCCCCAGGATGACCATCCCATCTGGTACATCACCAGCGAACATGGTTCATATGACCACCCGCTTTTTCGACATGTGTCCCATGATTCTTCCGGCAGCATCATCTTGCGTTCTCAGCACTCAGCTCAGCCATCAAGCCTCCCTTGTCCCTCTTCTTGTTGTCCTCTTCCAGCTTGCTCTGAATGTATTTCGTGATTGTCTGCACTTTGCTGAGCGCAACATTGTTGCACTGCAGGATCGCCAGGGGGTCGACAGGTGTGCCTCCATACTTTGCAATCTGGCAGATCTCGCCAAACTTGTTCATCGTGATAATGACCTCGCCCTCGCGCACCTGCTCTTCCGCCGCCGTGGCGTCCACCAGCATTATCTCTCCACTGTTGTAATACGAGAAAGTGACACACAGCGGATGGTGCAGCATCGAGAGCGGCACGGGTTCGCGCTCTCTTGAGCTGAAGACGGTGACCTTCTCTCCTTCCACGGCGATGTCCGGACGACGGAAGTGTTGCAACGCAGCGATGATGGCAATGCAGGAGGCGTCGATAAGGTTGCCATCGTGATCGAGAATGTTCACGTCGGCGCGTACGGAGAAGCATTTCGCGCCGGCAACGATACACAAAGACTCGGTGTCGAGGGCGCCGCTGCGACGGATGGCTTTTTCGAGGATTCGCGAGAGGATGACCTCAGCCTCCGTCTGCCTGTCTGGATGTTCAGTTAGGGTGTTTGTGGCCAGCAATCGGGCGTAGCTTGGAGCCGTAGACGTACCGGCCTACTTCGAACGCGGGCGACGCCATTGGTGAGAACTCGGTGCTGATGTTGAAGACACCATCGAATTTGCGGTCCGCGAATGGTGCCGTGACATCTGCGGAGACGCGGACCAGTATTCTGCGGGAGCAATCAGACCATGATACCGCAAGAAGGCGCGGGAAGCGTACCTAGTCTTGCCCAAGCGAACATCGGCAACGCCGTACTCGTCGCCAAAAGCCAATTCAAGGTCGCGGAAGGCGTCGAAGGCGCGGCCGTCGAGGCGAACGTTTTCGCCGAGCGCCTGGAGAATGAACTCGCGCTCGTTGAGCGAAAGCTCCGCTTCACGAGGCATGTTGTCGGGAAAGGCAGCGGGGTAGGAGGTTGTTGGCGCAGCGCGCTCAAAACTTCTGGGCTCGCTCGCGCCCGCAGAGTGACGGAGCACTGCGCGTCGGCGAAAAATCCGCCGATCGCCTTCCTTGGCGCCGGCCGCTCGAGCATTTCGCGGCGACGCGCTGAGAGCTCCATCCACACCACCCCCAACCCTCGTCTCGTACTCCCCACGCACCATGACGACCGCTCACAGACCCACGTTCGACCCGGTACGCATGAATCTTTATTACTTCACAGCAAGGCGGTGCTAACAGCCCCAAAGGCCAAGGGTAAGGACGCCCTCCGTGGGCCAGCCTACCACCAGCGCCTTCTTCCAGCGCATATGACCCTCAAGACCCGCCAGCCGGGTCAGGGCGGCATTGCCGACGAGCAGCGCGATCTCCGCGCCGAGCTCCTCAAAGCCGAAGCTGCGCACTTTGCCAAGAAGAACGGCGGCCCCGCTCCCGACGACGACGATGATGAGGGCACGACCACGGCGAAGCGGCAACTGGAAGACGCACCGGCAGACGTTGGGGCAGATGAAGACGAGACGCCGGAAGCGAAGAGACGGCGGCTTATATTAGAGGAGGCACGAGACATCGATGCAGATTCGGACGGCTCCAGCAGCGAAAGCAGCGACGAGGAAGAAGACGACGACGATGAAGAAGACGAGACGGCCGAACTGATGCGCGAGCTGGAGAAGATCAAGCGGGAACGTGCCGAGCAGAAAGCCAAGGAAGAGGCCGAAAAGAATGCGCAGGAGCAGGAGGAGCGCGAGTTCGAAATCGCGCGCGGTAACCCTCTGCTGAATCCCAAGGACTTCAATGTCAAGCGTCGTTGGGACGACGATGTTGTCTTCAAGAACCAAGCGCGTGGCGTCGACGACAAGAAGCCCAAGGAATTCGTCAACGACCTTCTCCGCTCCGATTTCCACAAGCGCTTCATGGTAAGTACTTATTGCACGCGTGAGAGCCGAGAAAGACGCTAATAATTGATGTAGAGCCGCTACGTGCGATAGATTCGACGCGTTTGGCAATGCGATTCATTAGAACAGCGACAGGCGTTTTTCGGACACTGCATTTAAGGCGTTTCCGGATGGTCGGGCGGTGGCTGTGCCTCGTAGTCGGTGCACAAGCCACACCTTTCAGCTGCACCAGGGTTTGTTGGATAAATGATGTAACCGCGCTACCCCTCCTCATCACGTCCACCCATTATTGCGTTATCAGTGATCAGCGATCCAGCATTTGGCTCTGGTGAACATACCCTCAGCGCACGGTAGCGGCCTTGTCCAGTGGGAACGGCACGGCAGCCACGGGCTGTGTTACCTGGTTCACGCCTTCATCGTCATGGCGCTGCTCGCTTCCCCTCCTGGACCCCTCCCTCGCGTGAGAACGGCCTGGCCGGACCCGAAGCACACAAGCGTGGATAGTGCCCGCAACACTAAACCTGGCAGTGGCCGGTCTTGAGCAGGGACACAACAAGTGCGGGGGTACACGGGGTCAATCTAGCTGAGAGTCATCGCACAATCGACCGTGCTCCCCACATGTGGCTTTCCATTACCTGCATTGGCTCGAGACATGAGTACAAGCTCAGCTGAGATGCGTCAACTTTACCCGACATGTCAGTAACACTCAAACCTGATCTTGATGCGCCTTTTCTATAAATTCTGTGCCGTTTCCTCGGCTCTCTCAAAGAATCCAACTTCCGCAATTCCTCAAATCAGCCTTGTCTATTTAAGAGGGAAAAAGAACCCCCCACCCAATTCAAGAACCAATACCTCATATCACCCTTGTCCAAGAAAGAAAAAAGAATCAAACAACCAATAATATAACCCACAATGGTAAACGACCTCT